TAATCGATATCTGAACCGGTCCTGGGCATCTGCCCTCTTCACCAACCCGCACTGACCAGTACGGTGAAGTTTGGTCAAACAACAACAACCAACACGGCAAGTGGAGGCATTCACCCACACAATTGGATTAAGAATCTGACAAAACATATTACTGTTATTAATTTGATGGCTGTTACAATTTGCCATATAAGTCTTAAACTTGATTAACAACTTTTAGCGAAACAACAAATGAAATCAAAGTATGTCAGCAGAACTCCCTGCCAGCAGCAAATAGACTTTTTGGCTTAAGAGTCCAATAGCAGTAAGTGCATGTATCTGGCTGAAATCCATGCTGATAGCATTGTTCCCGGCAACAGTAGGGATGGCCGTGCCAAATATAATAGGACAAATGCATTGGCCTCGGGCATGAATACAAAACCACACAACTTCGGGAGCACAGAAGCACGTGGTACAGCAGCAAGCTGTCCACCACACTCCATCACGCAGAGTGCGGTGTCCTGCCGTTGCACACAATAAATCTTTATAATACGTGTAATACGTGTATACTTGAGTGCAAGCATGCGTATATGTGCACTGTGTACACTATTTCAAAACATATTGGCGAGACATTAACTAGAAGTTGCGGTAACTTAAAGTTTTTTTGTAATTTGATCATTTCATTTCTGAGTATCCAGCTTCATGTATTGATTATGTGCAGTACTTTAATAAAATAAGTGCTCTGGTGATTTTTGTTTTGGATGACTACTGCATTTAAAAATGTAGCGTTTAGTTTGAGTCTTGCTAACTTTTACAATGTAATATGCTCACAAACTTGTGACGAATTTTATACACTGTTGGATGCGTGCTCTCCCCATGTGCTGCAGGACATGGGGGTTATTTCACCATACTTCATCACGCTGGTCTATACAGGGTTTGTGAAAGTGGGGAGCATAAGTGCAGCAGCAGAGAAGTACAGTACAACAAGAGATGTTGCTGCCCCTGCAAAATAAATGATACAATCATGGCTATGGAGTGAGACATGGGTGTTAGTATGTGGAGATACTGTGTAGAATGATGTTGAACTTCTCTGGCACCGTCCGTAGCCAACCATGCTAATTGGAGGTTCGGGGGAAGGACAACTAATCACAAAAAGCAGTTTTTAAGAAATGCATTTCCAATCTAGATTTGAAAGTGCATTGCTCCAGTGGCTTCCTAATATCGGATGGAAGCGTGTTCTAGATGGCCGCGGAAGTGCATCTGAAAGTGTGCGATTCAGTGACCCTCTTTGTTTGATTAGACAAAATCCGCTGCGAAGATAACTGGAGTTTGTGCATGGTTTATGCGCCTACATTTAGTCGTTACGCATGATTCAACTGAGACCGACAGCTCACACACAACGTTTTGATATGACTCAAATAGACATTCGTGGCTCGTGTAGGTAATGAACAAAACACGTGAACAGACAGCACCATCTCCCAACATGGGTGCCCTTCTCACTGCTCCTTCAGAATTCTCGGTGGCCGAATCCCTAATCCCAGACCACTGAATAAGTGAATAAGAGAATGGATGCAATTGGGAAATTAATGTCTCATTTGTGTGGGCAGCAGCATAATCATGACTGACCGCGTGCCTCGCCCGTTGGATAAATGCTTTATGGGGAGGAGGATGATGATGCAGGTGTTGTGCAACTCTGCTCCGCCGTGCTGCAGCAAATCACCAGCGCGTGGTGCCTCTGCATGTACATACTGACGTAGCCTCCGGCGAGGGCAGCGGTGACGCATGTGCCACTGGGGCAAGGTCGGGGGCATGGAGAATGGGATGATGGGTGGTGACCGCCATCCCATTCTGCAATTAAAACGAGGTTGGCTTTCCCTTAGCCTTACCCGTCATCTTCGCCTCTCATGCTTCATCTCCATGATTAGTAGAAACCATGTTGACTCCATGCTGGCACCAGGCTGGATCAAAGAACGCACATCCCCATGGCAGCCCATTTTGGCTGAACCGATCCTGTTGAGTTACCGGACTGGACTACCAGGGGCTCCATTACACACTTTGTGCTACGTTCACAAGGCCAGGCCAGCTAGCTGGCCTAGTTCGTGGAATAGTATAATGCAACCCACGTGCATGTTAAACTTTGTTTAAAAAAAAAAGTACATTCACGGCGCTCTGACCATGGAGGTAAGGGTGGAGTGCGGAGAAGAGGAGACAGAGCGCGGGAGGGGTCTAGACGATGGAGTAACATGGTTCTAGGAGTGTTGGGACAAGAAATGAGCCATGTTGGCTTAAATCAAGTACGGTCCACAACAGCTGAAGTCTGTTTTCCAATGGTCATGTTAACATAGCAATAAAACCAGGTGAGTGTCGCATTGAACTGTGATGTGGCTTAGTGGTAGTACATTCGCCACTTTTTGTAGAGTTTTACAGTTCTAATACAGCGGTCACCCTGATTATGAGTGCGGTTGTAATGGTAATACGCGCAATCTGACATAATTCGCAAGAGTAGGCCATTGTATGCCATCTTCAGGATCTAAATTTGAAAATTACCCACACATTACTCAATTGAGATTATACATAGCAATCGTAGCCCCCCTATTGACAGACTAATTGTCCAGGTCACTCTTGCAAACAAGACTCATCGTAGTCTATTGACTTCTCCTCACCTGGTTAAACAAAATGAACTTTAAACTTGAACGGGATCAACAGGCAAATGAGAAACCTGCGCTGTGATGTCACTCACTCGACTACCTGGCAGAATGACATCAAGCAAATGTCTTTTAGCGTATTCCCTTGTCCAAATCATCCAGGATGCACTCCATCTATGCTATGATGAGTGATCACCATGCTTAACAGGTATTGTAGGCCACAGGGCTACGTTGTGAGCAACAGAGGACAGTACAGCAAAATCCATTGCTGTAATGTACGTCTCTACTGCCACACCTATGCTTGCCACCTTCACCAACCTGCAATGCCCACGATGCACCCATCAAGCCTGAAGTGGGGCGAAGTGGTACACTCAGTACAGAACACTGTTCCGGGAATTACTTTGTCATGCCACATCAATGATGCGGTGGTGTGCAAAACGTACGTGCGAATAGTGCTTGCGTTACCACATGCACTGAAGGACGGTGTGTAATCTTGTTATGGATAGGCAAAGTTCGTACTCTAGTGGTAGTGCCTCATGCCAATAATCCTTATTCCAAGCCAGCCTAGCAGTATTCCCGGAATTATAGCGTGAGAAATTAAGCCCTGAGTACAATGCATACACTGCATACACTTTAATGGATTAGATATGATCAGGTCACATCAAAGCAGAATTATCACCCTGCTCAATCAAGCAATAGGGCAGTGCACATATGTTGGCAACCTTGAGTAAATGATGTAAATTCCACATTCCCATAGCAATGGTCAGTCTCTCTATAAGTTGATGACTGTTGTGTTGATTATTTATGAAAGAACGTCTCATTAAGTCTGACTATTCTTTTTCAGGAGGGTTCTCCATGGGATATTTGGTCAAATAATATTTTAACATGTTTTAATATGTAACGAAATATTAGAAAATCCAGAGAAACCCCACTCAAATGCTGGCGGAACATTCAAACTTAAATGGATCTCCGAGAAAGTTTGACACCCACTTGCTGTGCTGCTTTCTTTGAGAACGTCATTATCCTACTTATCAGTGTCTAATTCTGAAATGTATCATAATCAAAACCTATACACGAAATAAAAGCATTGTATTTTATGAAGCCATTGCAAAACAAATACCCCTCAACATTGGCGTAGTAACTAAATTATCAGCTTAGGGGGTGCGCCAATCGGTCAGGAGGGGCCCCAATATTTGATTTGCGCATTTGCCGAAGCCAAACGTTGCCGCTCTAATTAAAATTGTAAGTAAAATTTGGATCGTAAATTAAAGTATTTTCATTAAAATGCATTTCAACCCCGTTTTTATTCCATTACATTGTTTAAAACATATCTCATGGTCACTGGCTGAGCCAGTGGGGGGATGGGGGTGGGGTGGCACGTGCCCCCCCCAATGATCCAATCGAAATCCCTAATTTCGATCGGATCATTTGGGGTTTATTAGTAATAAATCGGCATTTTGCGACCCCCACTGCCACTGTATAGCATATTATTATGTGCCAGGGACGCTATGAGATGATAGGACAATAGTCTGAGTCCATAATTGGCAATAAGTAACGGCAAAGCAGTTATAAGCGACTCACAAAATTGTGCGCAGTTGCATATACAGTAAACGACTTCCCTGAAGGCATTCACCTTCAGCGAGCGCGATGCCGATCACACATGGTTCGAATTCGACCCTCGATCGATGGCTGCACCATCGCCGCACACGCGTCGAATAAAAAACTAGAGACAAGTCTTTACTTACTAACAACTCCTATCATTTTTCATTGCTAGAGGAGTTGCCCCCCCCTACCTGAAAATCCTGGCTCTGCCATTGCTCACGGTGATTGTCAAGGGGGCCCCAACTCGCAGCTTTGGCCACCAGGGCGGGCCAGGGCACCCCCTGCCCCCACGCTAGTTGCGCTGCTGCCTGCCATGAAGACCCTGTCTAAGTCATCATTGCGCCAGCAAAGGAGTTGCCCCCTGAGTTAGGTTGCGTGCCATTCATTGTATTGCGATGTAAGCCCTGCTCATGCCATCACCAGTGGCCTGTGCTACCCTGTTACAAGTCTGGGAGCACGCACCCGTCTAGGCAGTGTTTATCTTCACCTATCAACACCAAACCCTTGCAAATCCTTCTAGCTCATTCCCGAGGTGAGTTTCCCTGCCATTTATATCGCTCACCGGCAGCTGTCAAGCTGCCAGTCAGGAGGCCCGTTTGCTGAAGAGACACATGACTGAAACGCACGTGATGTCGGAGTAAATAGAGCCAGGTTTGGCAGGGTCAACCAGACGGAATTGAGACCCATGAAGCCCAAACCCACTTCACTGTTGGGACCGCAGTGTGGGACACAAACCCACCACACTGTGGGACAAATGGGAGGGATGAGTTAGCTCACCTTTACCTTGCTGCTGCACCTTGGGCTCGGCCGTGTAGTTCCTTCCAAAGATGTGCCACACAGGTCGCAGACACCCGAAGAGTCCGTCCAGGATCCCACCGCCCGTCGAGCGGTTCTGCAGCATGCGTATCCGCACTCCAGCACCAGCGGCGCCACCGGCGGTTGCGCCGACTCCAGCTCGGCGCGGCTCCTGCCTCACCGGCCCCGGAAGTACTTCCTTCCCATCGTTGTCATCTTCGTCGTCGTCGTCGTCCTCGTCCCCGGCATCGCCCGATGCCGTGGCCTCTCCCCCTCCTCCGCCACTGCAGCCACCAGCTGTCCCCACTGCCTTGTAGTAGTCGTCGTCGTCGTCATCATCGTCGTCCTCGCCTTCCCGCACGTCCTCGTACGGGTGCAGCAGCTTGTGCGTTATCTGCATGCAGTCGTCCTCCACGATGGCCGGCAGCAGAGCATGGTCTGTCGTGGGCACCGCAGCTGCCTCCTCGGTTTGCGTGTCTAGGGTCGAGCAAGGCAGGATGGGCTGGGGTGACCGGCGGTGGTGATGGTGGTGCTGATGGAGGTGGTGGTGAAGGTCACTCGCTTCCTTGCACGGGTCTCCGAGGTCGGGCTCCTCCTTGGGGTTGGAGGCTTCCGAGTGGCGGTCCGAGCAGTCGTCGATCTCCTCCAGGTACTTGATGATGCTGCTGCGCGAACGGAAGACGTCCGAGTGGCACTCGTGGAAGATCTCGTGCTCCGAGGATTCTCCGCTGGCGCTGCTGCGGTGGCGCTCCTTGCGCGTGTCGTGCAGCAGCAGGCTGTGGTCCGACTCGCCGCTGGCGCTGCTGCGCACCCGCTCTTTGCCCGATGAGCACGAGTCTGACCGCGACTCCAAGCGCCACTTTCGCTGGTCTGTGTCCCCGCTGCTGCCGGCCGCCTTCCAGCGCTCTAGGTCAGATATGAGGCCCTGCTCCGCACCCCCGGTCATGCTCCTTCGCATCCTGGGCCCACCGTACGTCCTGAGGTCTGAGAGTAGCTCGTCCTCCTGGCTGTCCTTGGAGTCGCCACCTCCGCCACTGCCCTCATAGCTCCTCCTGCGTGCGATCTTCGTGCAGAACTCCTGGAAGCGTTTGCTGTGCTCGGAGTCCTCGACTGCATCACTCCGGATCAGCTCCCTCCGGAGGGGCCGAAGCTCGGTGGATGAGAAGCGGCTCTGCTGGAAATAACGACCCTTCTTGGACCGCGTGTGCCTCTTCCGCATCGGCTGGAAGTCAAAGCAAAACTCATCGAGGTGGTCACTCTGCTCCGACTCCTCATCGTTCGAATGTCTCCGCGGTTTCTCCACGCAGGGTTGCTCCGTCGACAGTGGCGGCTCGGTGCTCTCCGCATCACCACCGATCGCCGATTCTCTGATGGCGCTCGGTTCAGGCAGCTCTGTCCCTACTGCCGGCTCAGGGGGCAGCAGCACCACCCGGCTCAGGGTCTCATCCTGCTGCATGGCCATTATGGCTGTCGGGCAGTAAATCATACCACGTCAGGCCAGAGGCATCCCTAACCTGGATGGAACAACGACAGGAAGTAACATTGCACACGATGTTAAAACGCATTACAATTTACCCAATAAAGTCTTACTGGGTCTCGAAAACTATTTCTACATCGGTCCTGATTGTGATGTTTGGCCTATTCGTATGAGGGTTGAACACTTAAAAGTCAATGCAATCTTGTTAGAATGCCTCCTATAGGCATATTTACAAGTAGATGTCGCATGTCATCTCTGCATGTTCCACCAATCCTGTTCATTGCCCTCAGACTTTGCCATTTGTAATTAACAATAGTTCCTTATTTTATTGCATTTTTACTTTCTAGATATAAATGTTCAAGCATTTATTTATGGATAGTTCCTTAGTCTATATTGGATCATATCTTGCCTCGGTAAAAAAAAATACAGCAATACCTTTTGAAAGGAACCCAACAACGTGTTGCAAAAATAATATACGAAGGTGACACTTTCACCACACCTCCTTCTTGATATGTGCAATAAAAATGACTACCAGTAAGAAAAAAAATACATACATTTGACCAGAGCATTTTAGCCTATTCCGAGCCACAAGCTGACACCCAGTTTCATGCAGGGCCTTATGGAGCTCAACCACGAGGGCCACCCGCACAGTGTCGTTCCACATGCCTCCTTATTGTTCATATTTTTGTCACCATTCAGAGCAGCAGCCATCAGTCGAAGCAATCACACTACTGACAGTATCTGTAAAACGCACGTTGACATATTCCCACCTCCCCCACCCACCCGCCCGTCCGCCTGTCCGCCCGCCCGCCTAACAGGAGAATCTGTTTAATTCGTTACTGCTCGAAGGTGATTTTCTGTCTTATTTGCATCCGCAATGCTGGGGCCGGGGGGGGGCTTGGTTATGCAAGATGCTCCTATTCGCTGGCAACCAGGTCTGTGCCTGTCCCACGGGACCGTGTAGCCGCACTGTACGGTATAATAATGAAGTGAGAATCCCATGGGAAGGAACAGGAAAATAGCGCACGGAGCCCAACGCGGCTCCAGATGGGCATTTATCTGTGACTGGTCGGCACCGCCAAGAGCCATGGCGATGCGATAATGGCAGAGCATCGAGCACGGCTGCGCGAGGGTTATCCCCAAATGTTCTGCTCCAATGACAATCTCGTGCCGTATGGGACGGTTAAACCGTCGTGTGTATACATGTGACAATTGTACGGGCATTTACGAAATGAATTAACATTATGGTATAAATGTGAACATTCATGCACTATGTGTATGCACATCACTTACACATGTGTATGCATATATATGTGCATATGAACACATATATACATCTAATTTGGTTAGCTGGTTAACTAATGTCATTGTATCCTCGTAGCTATTAATATTTACATTGCGTATTGGTTTGCCATGAGAGATACTTAATTGTTTTTTATATCAGGACATAGGTCGATGAGTGATATTAATACTTCTCATACCAGTTTTAGAATAGCATATTCTTGAGAAGGGGCATATGCATGCACATATGCATGCACATATGCATGATAGCGTGCAAAATAACAAGCTAAATTGTTAATTTGCATGCAAATTAATGTACGCGGGCACCCATATTTATGGAGATTGTATGTAGATGCACTGCACAGGGATTGCCTTCTGACCTTAACCCAAATAAGACTGATCTTAATTGAATGCACCTGCTTGGGCAATAAATGATCAGGTTTTATGAAGCATTAAGGGCAGGAATTTTTGTTAAAATAATGCGACCATATCACCATGGCATTGATTGAAGACAAGAACATTGAACAGGTCTATCTTTTGATTATGCAAATAAAAAATATATTTATTTTACGTTTACTGGATTTTTTTCTTCAGTTGGTAATTATTCCAGGGAATAATGAAACACATACGGAGGAGAGTTGTGCTGGGCACAACACTATACTTGATCCACTGAGATACTGGGTGAAATTCCAGACAGCCACTGCCTGCGATTTAAGCTTGGGTTTCAAGATTAAAGAGTCGATGCTTGTAGCCTCGTCGATAATATTCGGAAAAAAAATACATGAAGTTTGGTTGTTCACTTAATTTGGCTTCAATTAAAACTCTGAGAATTAAACACAGTTTTACATGGAGTGAACCGTTTTTTTGTTCTATGTAGCAGGGTGTGCGGGACTGCACACTCGAGTGTGTACATAAAAAGGTCACTTTAAGAGCTCTCAGAAGTAATCCTGTCCTAACCCCTTCTGTGTGTAATTCTCCAATGTGGCATGATGATGCACTGTTGTGCAAGAGTGAGATGACACTGATAATACAATTGGAGTAAAATTATGGACAAAGAACATGAACAAATATTTCAATAATCACTGCTCGGTAAACAGAGCCGCACGACTCTCAGTTATAAAATCACAATTTCAAACCAAAGTTATCTCAGCACTTCCTCATTCAAATAAGTAGGGACTCATAAGGCTGCACCATTTAGCGAGAAATGGAGTGTTTTTTTTCTATGGAGAGATTGGTCCTCACCATATTTCTCAGTTAAACATTTTTAAGGATCACTTGAATTCTGCATGGGCAATGAGAACTGCAATGAGCACTGCCCAGTGCTCATTGCATATGTAGTGTTTATAAATACGAATACATTTCTGAGGAGGCACACTGTTTATTGTAAGTCCTTAACACACAGAGGGGTATCCGGTTCCCTCACCCGATACCCTAAGGAGGTACAGCCTCCGGACTCAGCGTAACCTACACACAGGTCTCCTTGATACCTAAGGAGGTACAGCCTCCTAGCTTGGCGGGACTTGCACATCTACCGCTACCCTATCCCAGAGTCCTCCGGCTGGGACCTAGGGGAAGCTATCTGACCCACCGCTGGCCCGGTGGGTCCTGACCACTGGATACGCCGAGCCTTAGCCCTCAGAAGGGCTGGAAGGCTGGGTCCAGGGTCCTAGCTAGTCTTCAGCCCGGGCTGCGGTCTTCGTGTAGGGAGAGAACTCCCCGAGCTCTGCGCGGTTACCCTTCTTATACTCGTTCGTGGCCAGGTACAACCAATCACACATCCCCACGTGGAACCGTCTGATTGGTTTTCCCCAACTGTGGCTACGATCCACTTCACCTCGTCTGACCCCAACCGTTATGTACACCGAGGTAACGCTGCACTGCCTCCTTGATACCTGGTGGCAATGCAGGTTACCGCACAGTGCGTAGTTAACACCTCTACATAGGCACATTTGGCATTTTGTGCACAAATTGCAATGTGTGAATGTGCATTCTACCAATTGCATTAATGGATGCATTAGGAAGTTTTATCAATGGACCGGTTTAGAAAGTAAAGTGCATGCAGCAGATGACCCGAGGCAGAAACAAGTTTCAGAGGATTGAAAATAAAAGAAGGATTCCCACAGAAGACAGCAGGCTCATATGTCAGAGGAAAGCAAGACCTTTGGAAGGCACGACTTCAAGCTGAGCTATTATGTGTATAAATACACAAGTGGCTTTTATTTTGACCTTCGAGCTGAGTCAATATAGGCTGGATTTTAGTTAAAAAGCAAGATGCCCAGAGTGCTTGAGCATTTCTTGTGCTCGGTCACACTTTGTAAATGGGCAAATAAATACAAAATTCGATCAAATCAATACATCAATGAAACAGTAGTGTTGGAGTGGGGCAGTTCACTCTGAGCTCACATGCGACCACATACACGCGCTTGCGGGCGGGCCTGTGGTCCGGTGGTCCTTTAACTTGAAATTGAAGAAGCGGTGCAGGATTTAGCAATGGGCCCGTTTTGCATCATCAGGAGATGAGCACACACTGCAGGCTTGAATTGGGACAATTATCTTACGAGCTATTATTGGTTTGCGTAGTCACGAATACCGGTTTCAGGAGCGCATTGTGCCTGTTATATAATAACGCAGCGGTAGACAAAGGAAACTAGTGGCTCATTGCTGTCCCACCGAATACCTTCCGAACCCACTGATGTGCTGCTCCTCAGAGCAGGCCGCTCTGCTTTGTCATCATGGACAGTGGCAGCGATAAGAAAAGGCAGCCAACTCCTACCAGGCACTCCAATTTGCCTAAACCAATTTGCGAACAGATACTGTTGATATAGAGGCCCTCATATAAATAGCCATGTCTTACGATGTACTTACCATTCTATTTTCTGATATATGCAGATTCTCGTGCCCCAATTTATTATGCAAAGTTTAACTTAAATTACTTAGCCTCCCTAGAAATGAGGGTTACAAATGTGTATGTATGATTCATAATTAGTTTATTTTGGGTTTAAATCGTGAATTTATAATGCCGGTCTATTTAACCATAACCCCCCCATCACCCAACAAGCTAATAAAAGCAAGTATTCACATGGCCGAATATGCGATTTTATTTGGTTATTCACCAAACAAAATGTTGAAAAGCAAGCACACTTGTTTTACAAGCAGATGCATGCAGTCCAATAGAGATATCAATAATGACATGATTGCTTTGTAATGTCTTTCATCAAATGTGGATTTATGTTAAAGCGATTACATTAAAACGCGAACAATTGCAGGAATAAAGCGTTTTTTGAAAGCTGAATTTCGTTGATAACAGCAGCAATGTGCTGGAAGTAGAAAGTTTTCAATTAGTGCAAACTGTCAGCTGTGACGTATCAATTAGAAACATAAACACTGACAAAAAATACTGAACAAAAGCTGAAAAGTGCACAAAGGAGTATGGACATGATGCATTACTTCGACTCACACTGAAAAATAAGGAGCACATCGAACAGGAAACAGACAGAAATCAAACAATATTAAGAAAAGCACTGTAGATTGGCTGGTGCTCAACACATCGCTAAAAGGATTGCAGGCAATAGATAGACTGGAATGGCAGCCAAAGGACAACCACTGCAGAGATGAAGTGATGAGATCAGTTCATATATAAATGGATTGTATTTGGAGGTCATGTATGTATGTATGAACTTATTTCGAACCGTACATAGCCAATCATGCTAATCGGAGGTGCGGGGGAAGGACAACAATCTAAACACAAAAAGCAGTTCATCAATGGCGACTATTGCTGCTCATGTTGCTGCTGCTTATTATAAAGAAGACGATCAGTCCAGCAATGGTGGGCCTGATGATGATAAGAGGCTGGACTTTTGGAGAAAGCAAATAGACGATCGTCCATGAAGATGGTAGGGTGTATTGGTGAACACCAAGCTTTAGAGGGCTCTTGGATAAACACAATTGGCTGCCATATTGTGCGTGCATCTGTGCCATCCAGAGTACCACTGCTGTTAACACACATTCTACTCAGCTGAATTATTTAAAAGGGCCCTCTCTTCGCTAAGTCGATAAACACTCATACGCACACACGCACACACTCAAGTGTACACGTATGCATGCACTGCACAGGGTGGCATGAAATAATAATCATACATTATGGATGGGGTGTTTTTTTAATACTTATACTCTCGTAAATTGCAGCAATCTTCTTAAACTTTCTGACACTATACACTGCCCATCCACAATTATGTTCCTAATTAATCCATGCAACATTAGATATTGGAGGAAGGTAGAGTTCGTGTGGGTTGTAGGGTCAATTTGTAACCCTCCTTTTTGAACATTTTAGATGGGAAAAGGTGCAGAGGTAATGTCTGTAAATGTGATCGTAGTTTATGCATACATAGTCTTATTTTGCATGAATTAGAAATAATAAGAGTTTCTTTCAGCTAAATCTGAGTGAGAGTCTGGCAAAATGCTATCATGTTTGAGAGGAATATCTAGGTATACATCCTGTAGGAGTATTCCAAATAAAAGAGCCAGTTTCATAGCAAAACTGAATGATAAAGGAATTTCAGATGTTTATTATATTCTTGGTTCTTTCGGTAAAGTCACGTAGAAGGGAAACAATAAAATAAAATATATATAAAACAAGACTTTACCGAAAGAACCAAGAATATGAATCCCTGCAGTCACGAAAGCTTTAAATCAAAATGTTTATTATATTTAGTATAATCAACAGAATGTCCAAAATTGTTCAGTATTGTGTTCTGCTAATTTACGTTCTTAAAAAAAAAACATAAAGATCAGGCTTTAAAAAAACAATATACTCAAATTGTTACAATTCTGTGTGTTGACGCTCATGCCCTCTAATTAGCCATAATGTGTTTTGATTCGTTAAATTGATATTTTAGTGCAGGGTATGGGAATGCTCTAAACACAATGACAGCGTTCTGTAAATGTTCCCTGGTTAAACATCTCCCTCCGTGTATCTCCAGTCATTTGTGCATCACATCCTCTGAACAAAACAGCCATAATGTGTGGCAATGAGGTAGAGCAAAAAGCACTGTTATTTTTTCTGTGGTGGAAAATGCATCCTGTGTGTGTGATGGATCTGGCCAAACAGTCATCAAGAGCAGTAGAGCGTGGGATTCTGTCACAATCCCATCAAGTCTACACCTGGGGTCACTTACCATGTGGGTAGATTTTAGATATTTAATGTAATGATGCCTCAATAATTTCTTCTGTTCAAAAAGGAAGACAAAGAAAAGTCATTTGAAGATAATTACAAACCCATGAGCTTCTCGACACAAGTAATGGAGAATGAGAGTAATGCTTCATTTAGAAGCCAAACAACCACGATAAATAGATGGTTTTAGAGGCAGGTTTCTTCCATTGACCACACACGTACAATAAATCAGATTCTAGAATAGACAAATTGATATCAAGTATCATTATACGTGGCTTTTGTAGACTATGAAAACGAATTGTATTCAGTGGAACCAATGCAATCATCCAAGCACTCATAAATCAAGGACCTTGAATGATGTAGAAATGCTCAAATCCATTTCTAAAGATGGAGAACCAACAATGATATTACATACATTCACAAAATACAAATAAGAAGTTGAGTTAGGCAAGGATATACTTTTTCACCAGCATGGTGAAAAATTAACGATCAGAGCAATGGTTCGAACTTCAGCAAATTAAGAACTTAATAACTTAACGAGGCTGAAAATTAGGGCTCAAGATAAATACGAAAACAAAAGTCATGTACAACAAGCTTTCTTAAACAAAACAATATAATTATTGTAGGAGGAACACACAACACAGTATGTATATCTCTAGCAATTATTGCAGGCAGGCCAGCATCAAAATGATGAAATTTGGACTGAGTTGTTTTTGGAAAATCTTATTTCATACGATTGATTTACAACATATCAATGTGCCTAGAAAGGACAGAATTCGGTAATCGCATATTACCTGCCATGGCATATGGTTTGGAAACTTAGACTTTGACAAACATGGTACGAAAGCTTTAAAGTATGGAAAGATGCATGCTGGGAATTACACTGAGAGACAGAAAGAAAAATACAGGGATCAGAGAACAAAGAACGATTATAGAAAAGTAAATGGTCTTGGGCAGGACATTGGATGAGGCTGGTAACAGAAAGGCAGCCAAAGGAGGGAAACATTCCGATGAGGACAATCAGTGGGAAGTGGAGCAATGAGATCAGCTTATCAGATCAGAATCTGTATTTATCCTGGAGAAATCCAATTAGCTATGAAGCTCTTTTCCACAGATGTCCAGTAGTGTGAGATGTATTGTGGCATTGTAAGAGACGGGAATTATGTCTTCACCCACATGATGGTATGTGTGATTGGGGAACTATCACGTTGTTTTATTTCCTCATCATCACATGGTGTGATTTAAAGATTCGTGTTTTTTCTCTCTCGTAATTGTGTGTTCAAAGGCTGCACATTTTACAAATAAAAATGTTACCAGTGCGCTGCATGTCACAGTGGTGAGACGTGCAAACACCCATGCCATGGTCATTAAAACAGCCCTGCATTGGCTGCTGGTTTATTAATGATCTTGTCACTGTCTGACACTTTGCTCAACTGGCTTTGTGCATGCATGGTGTGTTAATGTCACAAGTGGCATCTTGAAAAGTGCAAAGTTAATGCATGTGTCTACCGATGTTTGATTGTAATGTTAATTTAAGAAGTTTAAAAAAAATGTTTTTACGATAATCTTCAATTATCCCACATTGCAAATGGAATTCTATGGAACAATGGAATCCATTGGTGTGCAGATACGAGGTGGATTACTACATTACAGGATTGTGAGAGATGGTGTCTGCTTAGCAGTGGATTGACCATGAGTAATGATGCTGGTGGCTGATCTGTCAGCGACATGGGGGTGCACCCCACCTAAAAATCTGATTTACAAAATACAGTTTATGTAATTTAAAAGAAAACAAAAACGTGTATTTTTATAATTATAACAACACAATTACAATATTTTGTTTAAAGAAAACAAAGACGTGTAATATATTTTGTTATTAACAATACTATAAAAAAGAACTGTAAAAAAAATGTAAAGTTCTTTTCCAAAGAAATTCGGATAATTAAAAAAAATCCTTTTTTTTGGAACTTAAAAACAATTCTTATAGAATAGATTGTCATATAATTTATTTAAATCGACACCATCTATATATGGGGGTGGCACCTCGAACTGCCTCAGGGAGAAAGCATTTACGGCATCTCCATGGCCAGTTCAAAACCCGACCCCCTTCTTGAGTGCCAGCCATGGAAAAATTGGGAGGCAAGAGGGCTCTCACGAATTACGCCCCTGGCCAACAACGAGCTGCCATTCTAAACCATTTGAATCGAGATTGCCCGATGCAAATAGACTCCTCCCTCAATGCATCTCCCATCCAGGTGCAAGAAAAGTCGAGGCTCTTTACTGGATGTTACTCTCTTGTTAGTATTGTCTGCCTTGTGAGCGCCGGGACAATTGTTCTGTCTCGTTTGCCTTCTCTGCTCGTCATGTTTTTGCTTTCTCGTTGGTACTGTGTTATCTGCACTCACCATCTTGCGCTGTCTAAATGCTGTCGTCTGTACTTTTTGTCCGCATCTCTCCATCATGTTTGTACTCTCTCGCCTGTTCTGTCTGACTTGTTTCCGTTGCCCAGTTTGCACTATTTGTCGAGTTTGTATCGTCCATCTTATTAAAAAGGGGAAATTATCATAAATTATCGTAATGGTCGTAAAATCATATTGTACGATATCCCCTGGCTCCACCAGCCGCTCCTGGTCTCTTTGTAGTATTTTAGTTTCTCATTCATGCTTTTTTTTAAACTTTGCACCAATATTGTTTTGTTCCGCAGTCTCTTACTGTAATTTCATTATCACCAAGGTATAATGTTGAAAATGAACGTGCTTCTCAATCGATAACATCAACGTCACTGACTGGATGACTGACAAAAGTCGACCATATGCATCTGGCCTGTCTCTTACTTATCTCTCATGTATCTTCACACAGCATTTGTTGACGAACTGCAAGGGTTACAGTGATTTAATTTATTCAGTGTTGTTCTGTTTACCGTATCTAAAGTCCATACACTGATTCGGCATTCCTTTTAATTCGGTCTACAGAAAGGAATTTCAAAGCAGCCGCCAGTGAAACACTGCTCTCTGCATTCTTGTCTCACCAATGGTGGACCTGCTGTGCCCAACACAGATTATGGCACAAAAACAAAATGCAGGCTGCAATGTTGCCGACCAAATCTGCTGACAAGCAGCGGCTGTGAAATCCCTGCTTGTGGGAACTCACCATTGATGATCTCGAGATGGTGGGACAACTCTTCCTTTTTTTGTTTTCTCCGGAGCCCAGAGCCAGTATTTCAGTGGCACTTACTCGGCAATTACGCGGACATTGGAATCCCGCAAGCTTCCCAGCTTAGGGTACATAAAAAAAACAGACGTGTTGGCATCAGTAGGTATCATGGAACAGGTGTTTGACTACTTTATGTCCACGGAGAGAAATGCTGATCTCTGGACAGGCTTAAGTCGGTGTTGTCCATGGAGGGAGTGAGGGTTGTCTCTTAAACATTCACGTGGTGGGTTGAGCCCAGCTACAAAACAAACTCGTCTGACATCCAGGTTCAATAAGGTAAAACAAAGGTAGGGTTTTTTTTCTTCGTTATGCAAGGACCTATGTGCCTTTGCTTCTACCCCTTTTGCTTGAATAACATCTATGAATTAAAGCCACGGGGTGGATCTGCGGCACTTTGGGTGTCTGGGCACCTGAATTCGATGATTGCCCAAACCCACGCTGATATTCACCAACCCGCACTGACTAGCGTGGTGAAATTATGGTCAAACAATCCCCGTGCAAATTATTATTATTGCTGAAGCGCATTGGGCTTCATTTATGTATTTCTGGACAACAACTGGTTGAAAGCAGTGGCAATTTGGCCATTTGTTCTACCAAAAGCTGATAGAAACAACCTGAAAAATTACACAAATAGGCAAATGTCCTCAATCACGTGCAATTAAATAACACCAACATACAGCCTGCACTTAGCCTAGAAAGAATGAATATTCTGTTTTGAGGTGAGGGAACCAAGATAAATATTAGTTCCACGTTGGTGATAAAGATCAAAGGTGATGGGGAAGAGATGGATATGATTGGGCTTCCCATCAGGGGCATATGAATCTTGTTGCAGGCATCTCCTTCCACTCCAAGGAGTTGTTTGGAAAGAGACTCCTCAATCGATAGCAGCACAAGGCCCAGAAATTATTGATGGAGAGATAATGTATTTGGTTACCATCGTAAGATAATATTCAGCCCTTAGCTCCTTCAAAGCCACGGTCGGTAGGGGCAGTATGCAGAAAACGTGTACACAAAATGCACAGAAAATATATTAAAACATATTTGGCCTAAATCTGTTTTCTTTCAGATTCCCTTTGCGCTAGAATGTGGATCGTAAAAAAACAACAAAACTATAGCAAATTGAATTGGTTTGCTTTGTTAGTTTAACTTTAAAAAGCTGAATTTTAATTGCAGATGCGAACTAGTGTGGGGTAAAAAAAAACCCTCAGGCCTATTCTAGGAAATAATTAAAGCTGTGCAGTGCCTTGCACATTTACAGAATGCCACTGCACCAGAAAGCACATTGCGGTAGAAGCTGGACATTCATTGTTAGACATTGCCGGATCTGATGTCAACCAGCAAATAACCTTGAATCCACACATCTGTTACATTGAAATCACTGTTGGATGTAAGTTGTGATGGATGCACGTTGAACATCTTTCGCACCGCATGTAGCCAACCGTGCTAATTGGGGGTGCCAGGGAACGGCAACAAACTAAACACAAACATCAGTTCTAGAGAAATTAGTTTTCAATTTAATGATGACTGATGACTAAATTGGGAAATTTATACATTAGCTGCACTGACCATCCTAGTGAGGTATGGTCAAACAATCCACATGACCGACACGGCATGAGAAGGCCTTCATTATTTGGGCTGTTAATGATTACTTTATAATTGATTTACGTATACTTTTCCACTTTTAAGTGCTGCTTGAATAGATTTCTACGAAAACGTATCATCTATGCCTTTAGGCTTTATGATGCCAGTATCCATCGCTGTTTTTCAGCAGGCATGTTACTGGTACGTGGTCATAACGTGCTGTCTTTGTGAGGACTGACGCCCTTTCCCGTTGGCATTTTACAAGGTCCCACAACACTCCCGTGCAATGCGAGACTAACTAACGGTGTGACATTGTCGTTGGTGCGAGTTAATGCGCTTTGTAAAAAAAAAATGACAATATTTAAACTAGGGCCTCCACTGTAAACCCACTGTGTCGGTTTAATTGAACTGCTGTCTAAAAGGTATTGAAAACAATGTTCTAGTTCACACACTGGCTGCATGCTTCTTGGTAGAGAAGCTGTACGTGTGGTCATTGATTGACAGCGCGAAGCAGCAGCACCACATAAGTAACCTCGATAAGGACTGTTAAATAACAATCGTTTTGATCGGCAAGGATGTCCTTCACACATGCAGCATTTACGCGCTACCTTAACCACATATTTAGAAATAACACAGCGTGCTTAAAAAATGCGTGTGCTATATGCTTATCAGCGCTTCTCCTGCCTTTGGCATTTCCCCGCTCACTTCTAATCAATCTCATGTCTGCATTCTGCTGATGCACGCTGTTTGAAGACTGCTTAGGAAATTGAAAATAAAATAATGAATGGAACCCATTATTTAAAACGAGGTGGGAGCCAATTGTGAAACACATACATCAATCTACATTGGCTTTCTTGAGCACACATTTATTTTGTAACTAATTTACGAACTAAAAACAAATTGCAGGGTCGCATTTTATTTATAAACACAGGGATGTGATGATTCCTTGATGTGATTGGGCTGGTATCAGGTTCGAGTCCCAGTAGAGGTGATGGTCACATTATGCTTGTTTGTGGGGAAAAGTGTGGATATCTCCATGTATTTCAGCCTATCTAGCCAGATGTTACTCAAAATAGTGCGTATCCATCATTGGGATGGCACATTCGCTTTTGTAATTATGTATATAATCGCTACATGCACATCATATTGATTGGCCATATAGACAATTGGTACCGAGTGAGTGACCAATGTAAATTGTGATGGTCCGGTCACTCTACAAAGTTGAAAATGGGCACAGCTGTAGCCGAGTCTATGCCCGTAAATGAAGTCGTCTGAAAACCAAAGTTGGTTCAATTGGGATGTAAAAAAATTACAGCCCGGAGGTTTACCGGGTTCACTCATAGCACCGGCTCAGCGTGAGATTGAAATTGCTTTTAAATGTCATACTAAACACTGAAAAATATATGTTACCCATCATCAGTGAACCAAATAGTTTGCCTCCCATGGTGGGATGTGATGGAAAAGCCTACTGCTGGTTTAAAGTAATTTATAGAGTCTGTGCATATCTACGACCTAATCATCCTTAATGCACCCAATGTCATTGCATCTTTGCAGGCAAGACAAACTTAAGTCTGGTTAGTACTTGTATGGATGGACCACCAGGGGCTTGCCAGGTGTTATAGACGTGAGGTGGCCAGGAGATGGCAGTGTTGAGGGTTAGCCTCTTGTATGCGTGCTGAGTTTTCTCATAGTTCTCCCGTGTCATCACATATGAAGCTAAATGCTGATTAATCTAAAAAAAGTATTGAGATTAAGTAAGGCTTTCCTGGGTAAATGGTATAAGTATACCGCACGTATGTGTGTTGAACTTTCGCACTGTACGTAGCCATGTAGTATACAGAGTATGCAATTGTGAGGTGGTGAAAGTATTTTCGAACGTGAATTTTAAATGCACCCCCAGCCTCTCATATAAGTATTTGATTCTTGCTCATTATTCTCAAGACCTTTTTTGAGCACCCAACATGTACAACATTTGTGTATGTGTGCAAGGACACGCAATATTGTAAGTACTATGTGTAGCGTATTGTTTCGGCACTGTCACGTTCTTGCATATAATTCTAGTCGAGTGGTGTTTAGGCTAGATTAAACTTCACTAATATGAAACCCGCTGTGCACCAGATTGTATGTCCCATGTTCTCAAACCATTACTACTGTACTTCTCTCCCAGGCTCTGGAATTACAAGGGAATTTACAGTCAGAATAACCTCAGGAGTGTCACATTATCCTTAATTATTTCTTTTATAGGAATAGGTTTTACCCTTTTAACTGGCACAAAAACTGACACCTTTATTCAAGGCATCATGTTTTCTTTTATGCTGAAGTTAGCCCCCCCCCCCCCCCACCACTATCCAAATACGTTAAGTAATGTCAGTTGGGTGACCCAATGAGGAATATTTGCAAAATACAATTTCATTACATAGATATTCTCAGCAGCTCTCCCGCAATATTTCTCACCTGATGACGATTGCTTGTGTTGCGATCGAAACGTCGTGATATTGTTATTATTTTTTAAATATTTTTATCTATCTACGTGACTTTAGCGAAAGACCCAAGAATATGAATTTCATTACAATTTTAATGTAACATTTAAGGCTATATCACGTATGTCTGGCAACGATTAGAAATCTTTAAAATTGCAAACATGTTCACACAGCTGTGTTTGTCAGCCCCTCAAATAGAACATTCTCTATATAACGGCCCAGCATCCTGTATTTCATCTACACTAACCAGCATAACTGCTGCTCAAGAGCCGACCTAGGTCTGACTGATAACGCTGGCATGAATGAATGCTGCCAAACAAATAATACCACACTTAGCAATTAGCGGCTGCGTCAATCGCTAATACAAAAACCCTGTGCCGTTGCAACGCGTTTATTTTCCATCACAGCTCGAGTGGAAACGTTACAAATCTGTCAACACAATAACAAACGAAAAGGGGCTTTTTGCCTCACCTTGTTTTAGTGGCTCACGCTGTCTGCCCGGTGCCCGAAAGCCCCGCACTTACGTGCCGACCTCCCTCCCTCTCTCTCTTCTCTCTGTTCGCCCCTCCGATTTCCCACGGCGTCAATGTCACCACCACAAAGTCGGTATCATCCAGCAGCAGTGGACGTTGCCGTCAATGCAGCGGCAAGGGTGGGGTTGCGATGAGCAAAGCCACCCAAATGACCTCTTGTTCGCTCGGGTCTCTTCTCAAACACGCGTGCCTTTGCCCCTGTAGATGTTGGAGCGACGGAGGAGATCTCTGGCTGTTGCGATGCGATCCGAGGTGCAGAACATCGCTGCCGTTGACCTTGGAGTGTCGAGGCGGCAGCGGCAGCAGCAGCAGCTCGCTCCTCTCTGGGCTTCTCAGCGTTTCGCTTGCGCAGGATCTCCAAACCAACGAGACACCGACCGGCCCGTGGCGTCTGAAGACTCCGGCCGCTCCTCCAGTGACGCGCAAATTGGCATCTATCTGCTCGGGGTGGGCACGTGCCGCCTTGTCCTTCCGCACGTCGCCCTTATGTCCGGAGCGCCCTTGGGCATAAAGGGAACTCAGTAACGAGGCGGTTGCGCGTTTCCTTGGTGGGAAATCATCCACTCAACGAAGGGGCTTGCTTGGTCACCCGGAGCCTCCGCGAGAGACTGAGAGAGCGATATTTATTTTAAAAAAAAAAATGCCGTTCCGCGTTTAATCCTTCGCACCTCCCCAGTTGCGCAATTCAATCTCTCCGTCTGTCTGTCAGTCCATTGAAATGAACGGCTTGTTTGGCATTCGCACTTGAATATCGCCGCCGCACGATGGAGAGAAGAGTGGGGCGCCTCTCGGGCTGTTCATTTGTTTTTCAGCGATCGCCGTCGAAGATTTTAAATTGCCCGTTCGGTTTGGGGGTTTGGGGGGTGGGGTAAGGGAGCACCTCCGCTGGCTGAACGCTGCTGCTACTGCTGCCACCGCCCGCCCCTTCGCGAGCCAGCAGCACGATCACAGAACAACAACAAAAATCATCGCGGCGGTGACACCGCCGAGCAGATGTGAAGTCCGCCCTCCCATCCCCTCCCTGCCCCTTGCATTCTGTGCGTGCGGCCAATGGGAAGAGCGCACAGCGGCCTCGCTCCGCCGAGCCCCGTGGGCCGTTTTCCCCAAAGGGCCCCCAAAGCGGGCCAGGCACCACCACCACCACCCCCTCCAGGCACCCCCCGCGGTTGCAACGTCAATTTGTGATGTGGGAGATTTTGAACGGAACGTTTGCATCGACTGCACCGTTTTAATTGGGTGGCGCGCGGTTGCAACGTTTGCACACACACACACATACAAAAAAGAGAAAACAATTTGGGAGATGGAACAACGATGACAACAACTAAATATACATCGTACAATTATAAACGGCGGTGGTTGAGAAATCAATGGATTTTTAAAATGTATATTCTGACTGTTATTGTAACAGTGGTAAGAACAGAAGGTTGTTTCATTGAGTTGGCTTTTTTGAGTGTGTCTGTCTGAGGTTGCACATATTACACGTCTTGAATATGCGTACTATATTTAAACCGCGTTCACACTGGCAGCGACTCTGCTTGATAAAGCAATCCTGCTGCCTTGCCAATGAGAGATATTAAATACATTTCTCAGGTAGGGCTTATTCTCAAAACATCTCTTAAAACATGAATTATTGTACGTTTAATCAGAATTATATATGGTATTGGAATTAAGAAAATTATTTTTTATGAATAATCCCAATTATTGTCCTCTCACAAGTTTCATATATTCACACCAATTGGCCAAGTTTCTTAAGTACATAAGTATTAAATTACATTTGGGCAGAGGTCTTCGTTAAAGGCGGCATAGGTACCATTCGCATTACCTACAGTAACTACCCGTGCATATATAACATGTGCGAATCTACATATTCACTGTGTAGGTTTAATTATTCCGTTCGTGTGTGTCCATGGCCAAACAAAGTTTACCACTCATCTCCAATTATGTTCTTAATATAGTCGAACAAATTCTATATTCCTATGGCAGGAGCCAGTTTATAAATAAGATAGATATTTTGTATGAAGTGCATGCATGTATATCCTACGAACCTTGTTTAAAAATTAATTAATGTTTTGTTCAGTTTAAATTATAGCAAGAATATACAATGAATAGTACTGAATTGCAGTGTTTTATTGAATGTATTGATTTTTGGGCTAGGCCACAATGATCTGGCCAAATGTTTCTTTAAGACCCTCAACCACCCGACAGTCAAACAAATCAATTTGTGTACACGTGTTTAATGGAATAATCAACATTTTTTCAGCTGAACGGTAATTTGAAGAACGATTTTTAATGAAACGTTTAGCAATTAGATATCAAGTTAAATTTAAAACTATATCAAACGTCATCAGGACAATATCCAGGAAGTCATAATAAAAACCCAAAGGTCTTAACGTCACACATTTGGTCAGATCAATACGTGGCCTAACCTAAAAATCAATAATGAATCTTAATATTCGCTGTGAAAACCTATGTGCTAACACATCCAATAAAATAGCAGGAGAGATAGGTTGCATCAAATTACATGTTTCAACCATGAACATTTCCCAGCTCAATGTGTTCATCTTTAGAAATAATCTTTTGGAATCCAGGGAAGTTCATCCATTGAAAGGACACGTTTAATGAGATGAAGGCCTTTCACACGAACGAGTGATCATCAATATCAGCCCCACAGTTTTAAAGTAGTAGAATTCAGATGAGTTAAGCCCTGCGACTTTGCTTCATGCAGAATGTAAGTAGATATTGCAATATATCACATAGCACACTTCCATATTAGCTGCACACGCAATAACGTAATATAATATTGAATGTCTAATTCATCACAACAGCAGTGCACCCGACAGATCCGGTACTAATGTAATCACATTTCAACTTGCATGCGTTGCAGGTAGATGCATTGTGTCGTCAGGCGATCTTGAACGTGTTTTTTTGTAACCTGGAGCCAAAATGTATCGTACAGTATTTTAAATTACAAATGAGCTCCTATTGTCCCCAACACAGATCTTGGCAAATCCAGACAACAGATAATTATTTATCCTCATCTGCTTAACAAGTATATGCAGGGCTTGTTTGTGGAACACATGTGCGAATTTTGAAAATAATTAAACGTAGAATGCTAGGCTGTATCTGAGGCATCTTTTATTGTTCTGCAGAATGGGCTGTAAATCCACACATCCTCTGTTGTGTCTTTCTGTATGTCCCCTGGTCTGTCACACTGTCATTTTTCTGCATCTTTCACATGCAGCTATCTCTCTGTCTATTTGCCTGCGTCTGTCTTCATCTCTGTGTCTCTCTGGTTATCCTCTGTATAGCCATCGCAATCACCAGTTGACAACGATGAGCATTGCCAGTAAGTATATCAGTGCATTGCCGTGATTTCCGGTGGTGAAGGTGATCCACGTCCCTTGCCATCGCTGTGGGATTTCATATTTCATCGGAGCACTCTAGTTTTAAAAGCCCTGTGACTCATGATGCCATAAAACAGTGCTGTGAAGCAGCCTCCCATGACCTCTAGTGGTCATGTGTGGTCAGGAGCATTAGGATCAGAGTCGGTGCAACTCGTGTTTTCTTGCATAGAGCTCGGAGGATGAATTGACTAAAAAATGGAATCGGCACATTTTTTGTGATAAATTGCTCGGGTTCCCTTTAAAATTGCCGATTGACCTCACATCCTACCTAGCGAAGGTGGGAAAACCCGACAAGCCACACCCAGTGACGTCACCAAGCCCCGACCACAATCTTCCGTCCAGCAGCACATGTGGAAACAGAGGCGGAACTTTAGTTTTTTTCCAACTGTGTTATCGGATCAGTCGAGTAAAGGCATCATGCCATGATAAACTCTTGCAGACCTGTACATCACCCCACGCTAGGTATGTGGTGTCACGGAAGGACATTTTGTAGAATTACTTCTGAGATCCCTTAAGATTACCTCTAGTGACCACTTTTATCTACAGTGGAGGGTGTGACATTATCCGTATGCCCTGCATGGGGAAATGTTGATCAAATGGCAGTCGACCCAATATGTTTAATTCTCAGATCTGAAATTTTGGCTCAAATTAATTGATACTAATAATAACTCAACACTATTTTTGTGCAGCCATTGGTGAATGAGCTGAGACCATCAATTCAATGCACTTGAGAATGGCTTAATTACAGGTGGCTGCCCAGATGGGAATCGAGGATCGGAGTAGCGCTGACTCACTTCGTTGACCGATGAGCCATGCTGCCACTTAAAAGTAAGTGCTTACCTAATTCCATTCATTGTGCCCCCCCCCCATCTACCTTTTGACTGAGCTTACCTATAGTTATTGTCAGTTTAACAGCTTTCTCAATCCATTTCATATAATTGTTATTCATGTTTGTTTCATTTTTCTTTCTCAATGCCTATACAAAAAATCCCTGCTGCAATTCCAGTCACAAGGCAGCGTGTCTAGCAATATCCTCTAATACCACGGCACTCGACTGCATTGCCAGTCCAGAGTCAGTAGTGAAAACTCCACATTTCCATGGTGGAGCCAGCCTCTTAGCAGGATTTACCACAGTTGACTTCCCACACGTGGTCCCCAATTTTTACGAACCTCAAAGTTACTGTGGGGTGGAGCAGTAGTGCAGTGGCTTGCGCACTACCCCCCAAACCTGCCCACCTGAATTTAATTCTCAGCCATGGCTAACACCAGTGGTGAGTGATATCTGAACTCTTCATGCCCCTCCCCCCTCTCCACCAACCTGCAATGACCAGTGTGGTCAAACTATGATTAAACAATCCCCATGTCACATGTGACATGAGTGTATGAATAAAGGGATGTAAATTTAAGTCATATTAAAAGGGAAAATGGACCGAGTTCGTCACTCGGCAGATTATCCAATTGGTATACAGTATAAGTAGTATACCGTATGATTACAATATCCTGTTTTCTCCGCTGTCTTAAAGTGTTTTCTAAAACAGTATCCCCTATGTTATACAAAAATAATATGCAATTGCAATGTGCTCTTTGTTGTTCATAAAATACGTTTTAAATGTACCTGGAGCCTCATACTTAATTCTTTGCTCGATGATTTTAAGTCTTGTCATTTATTCTCGCAACAATTTTGAGCAGCCAGCATCTTCACAACGTGTATGCGTGTGTAGTGACACAGCGCCGACTGCTGTCCAGCAGCAGCAACTGCGGTGGACACTTAGCGCACACGCCGTTGAGCATATACACGGTGTGTGTGTGCCGGCAGGGCGGAGGAACTGGGGCAAGGGTCACGGTAGACCTCGTGTGGAAGCCCCTGGAACCCTCTGGTGGGTTCGAGAAGGGAGGCGCGGCTAGGGCGGAGCCAGGCCGCGCCGAGGGGAATAAAAGCAGCGGATAGCGAGAGCTCCGGGCTGCCGGTCATGGGAGTGGACTCGTCTCGTCGTCGCCCTCGTCGCTATCACCTTCGCCCGATCATTGCGCGGCCGGCTGTCTCGGTCGACGCCGTCGGTGCAACGCGGACAGGGTCGTGTCTGGGCTGGGCTGTAGGGCAGCGTGGTCGTGAGAGAGGAGGCCCGAGTTGGTGGTGTGAACGAGATGGAGGAATAAAGAGAGAGAGAGAGAGACGGTGCCTCCTGCAACTGCCTCGTCTCCGACTGAGTGTGCGCGCCGCACACCACACGCACACACGCCGGGATGAAGGACACTACACGTGTATACACACTGTGTAAATACAGTGTGTACACAGTGTGTATACACACAGTGTGTGTACACACTGTGTGTATACACTACACGTGTATACACAGTGTGTATACACAGTGTGTATACACAGTGTGTATACACACTGTATTTAAACACAGCTTACATACTGTACTAGATGGATTATTACTATTATTATCACTGTCTAGTGCATGTGCCTGTTGTGGGGTAACACCAACTGTGCTTTGGCTTGGTTGCCCCGTCCCGTTGTGTGCAAATGCTAAGGTAATGGAGGTGAATAGGTTAAAGGTTAAAGATGCCCACAGTCGTGCTCCACTCTCTTGGGGGTCATAGGTTTTTTTTTATTGCAGCTGACCCAGATTACAACTTGTCAAGGTGCCCCTAATTCAAATCTGTAAACGATGAGAAAACGACAGAAACAAAATGTGTACACAAACAGAGTGCGTATCTGTGTGCTGTTTAAACTGTTCATTTTACACATTCTTGGTTCTTTCGGTAAAGTCACGTAGAAGGGAAACAATAAAATAATAAAAATATAAAACAATAAAATGCTCACGACGTTTAGACTGCAACACAAGCAATCATCATCAAATTTTCTTGCTGTGGTTTTCACACCTGATGATGATTGCTTGTGTTGCAGTCGAAATGTCGTGAGAATTTATTGTTTTATATTTTTATTATTTTATTGTTTCCCTTCTACGTAACTTTACCGAAAGAACCAAGAATATGAATCCCTGCAGTCACGAAAGCTTTAAATAAAAATGTGTTCCTTTTACCTCGTTAAACGCATACAAAAAGTATATCCTTTGTATGCATAAGCTGCTAAACTAAATATTGTACTCCATCATGCCTTCCTATTTATCCAAACAAATGTTATCATGTTATGTAATCTGCATTGATTTGACTGAAGAGTCCAGTATAACGTCGCATATCCGACCCCCTGGGGACTGAGGCATAGGCGGATACGTGAAAAGGTCGGATACATGAACGTCTAAAAAATATGACAGTTACAACCACCAGACACAAATAAGTTACTTAACAAAAACAAAATGCAACTGCTTTAAATGTAGCCACACGCTTTGCTACGCTGAGGAAGCGAGTGAATGTACACGGGATGCAGATTATGTCACCGTGTGTCAGTGCAAAGGCCGGATTTGTAAACATCTACAAAAAAATTTACAGTTACACCGTGCACACATACAGCACTGGGTGTGGAAAATTAATTGGCGAGGGCAGATATGTGGAGGTCGGATACGTGACGTAAAGAACAATAATCCCGAATGTCTGATTTTATTCAGCCAAAATGCGTCCACTAGGCAGATTTATGGAGTCAAAGAAACGTGAAAATTATTCTTCCCCTTCACTCTGCGCTTCCCAATCCCCGCTTGATGTTTCAACTTCCGCTGGCTGTTAATACGTTTACAAATTGGTTTAGCACCAAGGGTTTTTTTTCTCTTCAATTTTATTTGCACCTTTAGCGTTGAATGAATCATGTGATAATATATCACTGCTATATTCAGAATTTGCAGGAATGCCGACTAAAATGTCACTGTGGTTGCATTACCACAGAGGATGCATTAATCATCGGAATGCTATATTTATTTTGCTTTTAAAAAATACACATGAAATACGTATTGTGTATTCTTTTACACATCCATGTGCATTTGACAGTGGCGATGTTGGTTCACACACACTGCACTGCAGTCCTGGTTTCCCCGGTTTGATTCCTGGCTCCACACACACTGGTGTCAATTGGTATCGAATCAGAGCTGGGCCTCCCCTGCAAATATTACACATCACCAAATGCGACTATTGTAGTGGTTGTGCCCCTGACACATTTAGGTGGTGGAATTTGAGCAGTTATAATTCCTTGCAAGCTAGCATAGTGGCGGCAATTTGGCATGAAATACACAAGACGACCAGTTTTTGTCAACTGCAATTTATTAGTGTTCAGGAAAACATATACTGGACTTACACGGAATTCCAAAACTGGACTCAATGAACGCCACTCACAGGTATTATATCACCCAATTCTACGTAAAAGTATACAATTACCGTGTAGATGGAGAACACAATTCTACAACACAATCTTGTTTAACCTTACGAAAATTCTTGGAATTGCAGCACTATGTAATAAAGTTAGCACCTTGTTTTATTTTCAGCAAATGTATGTCTTAGAAAATTGCAAAAACACAAACATATCTACTGACCTATTCAACAAGTTATTGTTTTGAGATTTGAAATTGTACAGAATGGGCTGTGGTGATATTGTTCGAGGGTTTCTGTCTGTAAGGTTTCCACCCGCAACAAACTCACACCCAGAGCCCATAGGGGCCAGTGCCTTCGCAAGATGAGCGTTTATTGAGAACATATTGACATTTTACTTATCTTCTCAAAACAATGTTATTTGTGGTGGCATTGAAAAATCCAACAATTTAATAGCACAGATTACCATTTTGACAGCAGTTTTAAAAATAAATAGATTGCTTCATCCAGCTTACGTCAGTCGTTGGTATATTTTCAGAATTGTGGCAATGCCATGATTTTTGCGGATGTAATTTTGTGAGCGACAAGACAGCAGTTCGGCTTATGGAAGTTTTTTTGCTTTTTTACTTTACAAATACCAAGTCCGTGTTTTCAGGGCTGTCATGGGATTCATTCAAACTTGACAAGACTTCCAAATTTCATCAATCACATTGTTGTTGTTGGCACACCAACATGATATAACAGAGCGTCTGTTTTAAGCCGGTAGATTTTCCAACAATAAGCAATAAAACAACAAAGTTCTGCCATTACACTGCCTGCCCTTTACACACAAGAGTGTAAATATTTCCATTTGTAAATGTTCCTTCAATTGGCACTAATGCAATCTTAAAAATAAATCGCATGTTCAACAATTGGCTGTATTTATTGATCGTCATGGAGAAATATGGCAGCGAATCGTTCCCAAAGGTGTGCTTTAGCAATTTGGGCCACTGTAGCACTCGATTTCACAACTGCGACCATTCGCAGTTGGAACCAATGATTCCATAACACTACCACAATCATGGACTCTCAACTAACACGATGCAAGGCCGAAGCACTCCTGTGTCCTGCGGAATTTAAGTTTTCCACGGCAAACTTTATCTCCACCACATGTAGGGCATGCGCCATAATGACGGTAACACGTAACAATGGTCTTCGTGAACTCTGACCTTTCTTTAACGTCCCGTGAAAATAAAACGAGTAATATAACACCAATCAGGAACACCGTCTATATAATATCTCCTCTACTTTTTAATTAACAAAGTCATTTTTATTTGTTCATAAACAGGGTTTTTTTTTATATATGAAAGCGAAATTTTGTTGCTGTGAATTTGAGGCAAAATGGTTTTAATAGATAGCTGTTACTGTACTAACTCTTGTTTTTTTCGGTAAAGTCACGTAGAAATAAGAAATAATAATAAAATTGCATAATAGTAATTACATAATAGTAATTACATAATAGTAAAATTACATAATAGTAATTATGTAATTTTATTATTATTTCTTATTTCTACGTGACTTTACCGAAAAAACCAAGAGTAATTCCTGCAGTCACCAAAGCACCAAATCAAGCTACTGTACTTCCTTGTGGAAATGGTACAACTGGCTACAGTTTTGCTGATGATCACAAAAGCAAGCAAGCGATAAAAAAAAAACATCTTGTTATGCTGTGCTGGAGACATCCGGACTTAAGGAACGTAAAGAAGTTTGTCATAAACGAACATACCACTTTAAATTCAACTATTTTAACACTGAGTTAATGTGTTGTGGTTTATGGTGCCCATATAAACGAGCCCCTTAGACTGTAATGATATCCAAATCATTTCTCTTTTTTTGATATGGACAGGACGCCAATGGTATTTTGTAAAACATTCAACTGAGTGAGGCTGTTGTAAATGCAAGACAACATTTTGAATCTTTCATGGTACCAAATTGCCAATTAAAATATGAAGTATCATTTCTCGAGCATAGCATGTACGGTCGATCAACACACGTCTTTGCAATACAACCTAGGCAGCATTTAAAACAGGTTAAACATCGAACATACTTCAATGTACACTTACTTAATGTGTTCACCATTGCATAGGACTTTTCATGTAATATTCTAACTCCTGTGCCTCGGCATAGCCTGGTAAATGTCGGCACTGAATGCCAACTCAACCAAAACAACGCAGAGACACTTATTTATTACAACAGCTTTTTAGTTTTACGAATGTGACTGGTACCTTTGATTTTGGCATTCGTTGTTATTACTCAAAGATGATGAATTCGTATTCAGTGGAAGAGTGACCCAAGGCACAGTGAGCTAAAACTGATATTTCACAAGGCAATAGGAGATAACTAAGAGCACCCTGTAGACAACACAACATTATACTGGCAAACAAAATGCGGAGTAAATATACATCCGTGGTTTTCAGTGCATTTATTTTTACACTGCAGCACCATCAGTGGCCTCCCATGTCTACCCAGCGGAGTAAATTGTTCACACTTCGTTCATTATTAATCCTCCACGCCGTTGTTTTTGTTTAATTTCTCACCTATGACATACGTGGCAGGCTCTCATCTGTGGGTGGGTGGGGGGGGGGCATGTACACTACCTGTGAAGCATAATCAGGCAGATTTGTGCAGCTACTTGCTGTGTGTATTAATATGTAAGGTCTGCGCATCATTGTGGGCATTTCTCGTGATTTTGTTGTGAGGTTGGAACATCTATCGCACCGGCGTGTATTGTTTGCAGGATATTCTGGATCGTTCATGAGGGTAGGGTCTATGCAACAAAAAAATAATGCTGTTCAGTGACCAAGCGTGGTCAATAATATGTGTGACCGGATTGAAAGTGCAAAGAGACATCACGACCTCCCACACATGACATGAACTAAAAACAGAAAATATTGCAACCCAAAAGGTTCCCTTTTGCACGTGTGCAGTGACATACAGCAAATGACTTACACCACTCGTCCTGTACCCGTTAATATAACTGCCCACACTTTGTCATGTAACCTACAATGCCCTTTATGGAAATGCAACACAAGGACAGATAAGGCTCCTTGCACGTGTGCAGATCTCTCTGCTGGATCCAAATGGCAACTGTGAAAAGCCTATTTGAGCCCTATGTGACAGGTGACACAGTGATATGATAAAGCTATCTCCCTCCTGATGACATACAGCACAGGAATACATTATTGTTGAGTAACAAATGGATGATTTATTGTGATTCCTTTGCACTGGGCAGAGTCAATGAGATGAATACTGAGGTTCTAACCGCCTGATTTTCCCGAGACCTACGTGAGATGGTTACTCTGATGTTCCTGCAGTAGGAAACTGATGTGGTTACGTGATGAGATGGTTTCTCAGAGACCCGAATTTAATTATTTTCAATAAATCCATGCAGGAGACAGGCAACAGGATGACTCAATGAAACTAAGATCTGAAATCCATGATTACAAAAGATCTGAAGGAGACAGTTGCTCTTATGTTCCTGAGTAAGACCACCGTTAAGATGACAAGATGATTAAGATCTCTCCCGGGGGTGGGGTGAACATCTGACACAAACGGTACCATTTTTTCTGAGCTTCCGAGGACACCCTGTCAATGAGAACCCCCGCTTGCGCTCCACTCAACTCCGCCGCCGCTGGGCACCATCTACTTCTTCCGCTTGCCTTGCTGGCGCAGGTGGTGCCGGTAGCTGTTCTCCACGCACAGCACTACGAAGTGGCTGGCGCAGTGGTGCGTGTGCTGATCCAGCAGCCGCCCTGACTGCAGGGCCGAGGCCTGGCCCACGTCGTCGCTGCTGCTCCGCCAGCCGGTGCAGCTGTGGCCATTCTTGTGGCGCCCTTGCTCGTCCGCGCCGTGCCACACCAGCTTGAAGGGCCTGCAGCGCACATCGGAAGCGCATGTCAGAATCATGCGCCAATAGCGGGCCAAGCGCTTTTTGGGACTAAAGCAAATCATTTATTTTTTTTTCATTTTCAGGTGGTAGGGTTTATGCCCTGCAAAAAAAAATGGCAATTCAGAACCCGATATTGATTAAATAAGTTCAACAGAGTTAAACTCTGAAACATCTCTCAGTTATTGATTTTGGTTGCAGTGCCATTTATCATTAACATTAAAATGATATTGGGGCTGGGAAGTCCTAGGCCTCCTAGGAGACTGCATGCATCATTAGTGGGGATTCACAAAGGCAAAGTAGTTAGCAAAGTGCCATGGGATCTAGAAAGACAAAGAAGGATCTATTCTGGTTCCACATGCCAGCACCTGCCTTAACTTTCTTGGTCTTGCTCCAGACAGTTGTAAAATACGCTGTGTTCAAAATGTATGGTTATAAAACACTGCCTACTATAATCATGACTCGTGAGGAAGACCCACTGCTTTAGCCAACTAACAAAATTTATTTTTCCAAGTAAGGCGGTTTATAAAACACTCCATTAAAATGGGAAACTAAGGGGTAGGGTTGATGGATCATGAGACGATTTTGTTGTACTTCCACCTGTAGGCAATAGGTGGTATCTATAGGCGGCAGTACAGCAAGTAGACATTCAACTATCCATGTGAAGTGGGAGCATTATCCCCTCCTATTTGTTTGTATCGGGCCTGCGAGGTCATGAAATCAGTACTGACCACTTGGAGTCTGTGAGCACGTTGCCCCCATCGAAGGAGTAGATGGGCGCATTTGGGTTGAAAGAGGCCCCATCTCCAGTGAACAGACTGTTCCAGTTGAAGAAGAGCAGCTCGTTCTGTCAACAGAGACAACGGCGATGATGGCACAATTCATCGTTATTCTCTTCTCTTCCGAATGGCCTGCACATGTGCAAGACAAAACTTGGTCCAAGTGTGAGGGTCAACGATGCCACCTGCCCACCTTTAGAGATCGGCCTATGGAAGCATATTGCACCAAATTTCTATGTTATCCCTCCACATGCTAAGAAATGATGATTTCATGGTAGTGAAATATTGATTTTATTCTCAGAGCTGGCCATTGGTGATCAGTCTGAGGATATCAACTCGCCATACTTTAAAACTCAGTTTAATCATGGGTGGCTAAACCCAGCATTACTGGCTCAGTGCTCTGACCCATGAGCCAATGGGGGGGGGGGGGGGGGGGGCTCCTCCCCCGCTCACCTTGAGGTTGAGGATGGGCACCTGGGAGGCCTCATCACGGTCCACGATGGCATGAAGGTCCTGGTTGGGGGAGGCCAGGAAGGCCCGGAAGGTGCCGGCAAGGCCGGCGCTGCGCGCCTGGCGGAAGCACAGTGTGTCCGCACCCCGCAGGCCGCCCATGCTGCCCATTATCGGCGTGTTCAGGGCTGCCATGTAGAGCTGCGGTGCAGGACCAGCAGGGTGTTGCGGCGTGAGGGTGACATTGTGAACAGCACACAAAGGAATATGAAATGTCAAAACATGTCAAAGTGATTATTTTACTGAAATTAAAAAAAAACGGAGGCAGAGCTAAGCCAGTGGTGTACATTACATATCCTGATGGCAGGCTGAGTCGCTCCATTGTACGACCACTATTGACTTAATACAAACAATGGTACTCATGTCATCAACCCCAGAGGGATGAGTTCAATCAACCCCCATCTAAAATTTGAATTCTGTCTTCCATTTTGGACCTATTTGCTCTACCACTGAGCCATTGGAAGGAAGGTGAGTATGCATCAATCGCCATGTCACACGTGTAGGTGTGGAGTGAGTGTGCGAATCGTGTTAAATTGCAAAATATTTTAAGCCCATCTTTTACACTTAATCACTAGTCACATTTAAAGTGTTATTTTGGAGTGGATGCCCGAGATCATGAAATATCCTTCGGGAACTCTTACAGCCCTGAAATCCTCACACGTTATTTCCGAAAACGGCCACAGAAAAGGGCATTTCAGAAAGAGGTGGATAACCTTAATTTACATCCTGATAAGATCTCATAGAAATCAAACACCTCATATTCATTAGACACGAGTTTAAATGTATATGGCAACACAGCTAAATTTGTATTTATAAACAAGATAGCATAATACAACATAGAGCTACTTTTGTTATCTGTAGACTCACCGTTTAATCATAATCGCAAAATAGCACCCTTTTATTCGAATGACTTTTTCCCCATGTGTCTATCGTCCTACATATACAGATAACAAATAAACTCAATGTGCCACGATAAAGAGCCATTGCCCGAAACGTCGCCTGCGATATAATTTTCCTTTTAAGGCCGCAGTGCTATTGACTAATGTGTTGAGTTTATATGTTTAATCATTTGTGTTTGCGCAACACTTCTAATGCAGCGGTATCACCAAAGAAATTTGTTTGAAAGCTAAATTCATCACATGAATTAGCCTGAACTGATTAAAAACCCACGTATAACAGATCCAGGCTGTAACCGTCCACTCATTACGCTCAGGTTAATCTGAAGGTGGCTGGCCATGATCATTACCAGCCACCAGATGTTTCGGTATCACTGCCAGGCACGGACAACAACCGCCATGACCCTCGTAGCAGCATGCAGAGCATGGCGACGTAACAAAGGTCCTGGCTGCAGGTTGGACTCACGTACAGCGTGCGAACGTCCATTTGTCCACAGTGTTTTTCCGCCGCTTTGCGCTGCCAAGCCCTGATCAGACACCTCTGACTGGTGATGTACATAGGGGAGGAACTGCATGGACATGGAGTGGGGAAAGCAATTGATATGAACGTTACGATGCATCAGTTCATTGATTAAAATAGATTTTTATGCTCATGATGCATAGATTGAATTGCGAGCGTGAGATGTGATTGTTGTAAACCAATGTTGCATCGAAGTTAACGGAGCCGACTGGACAATACAAGTGATACAGACATTTCAAGCAAGATAAACAAGCGATATAGTTAATACAAATAGTATGCACAAGACGATACAAATATAAAAAAGTACAGGCGAGACAAATAAGGCAGTACAAACAAGACAAGTTTCATACAAATGACACGAATAGTACAAGCAAGGCAATATAAAACAGACAATGTATATGAAATCCGCAGTACAAACAAGACACTACCGATGAAACTGCACAAATGAGACGGAAGAAATGGGCAAACAAGGCAACGCGAACACGGGAGTAGAAGCGTGATAGGCGGAACTAAGTCAACAGTACGAATGAGATGAACAATACAAATGAGAAAGTCGATACAACTGAGACAGAGCAAATGAAATAGTAGGTTAGGACGTGCCGCATATACACGACAGGTAAAACAAACAGGGACAGAACGCAATTGATTATTTAGCTAAAATCACGATAATTCATCATGGACTCACGGTGGCTGTGTGGGGGAGTATGGGGTGGTGTTAAATACCGAGAGACCTAACAGTTACAAATGTCAATAATCACTATCATCATTGAAACTCAAGTGATTTCCTTCAAGTTTTAGTGCTAAAGTAAAACAAACACATGACTTAAAGCTTTCGTGACTGCAGGAATTCATATTCTTAGGTCTTCCGGTAAGGTCACGTAGATACGTTCAAAGAAGATAATTAAAAATAACAGAAAACTACGATGTTTCGATCGCAACGCGAGTGGTTGTCTTCTGAAGACCGCTTGCATTGCGATCGAAACGTAGTTTTCTGTTATTTTGGATTATTTTCTTTGAACCTATCTACGTGACTTTTTATCGAAAGAGCCAAGAATATAAAACAAACACACTTACCAATTTCTCATTGAGTGTGTTTGGCTCAAATTCACCAATCTGGGGGAAAGGGAAACACATTGTTAAATCACATATACATGTTTTACTTTTAATACCAAAAACTTATCTGGTGACAGTCGAGAAACACAAGGACCAAATTATAAATTTCGACAACGTTCTTTTTCACCAGACATACAAATGCAATTGTTTTTTTTTATCTATAAGTGATTTTCAGAAGGTAAAGAGCATTGAAAAGAATGGTTGTAACTCACAATTGTGGATATTTCTGTAATTCCTTTTCCCATCGAGAAATTATAATACATCTCAAAATATGCAGTTCGGCTATTATTGATGTATAATAAAAAAAAAATTGGCTATTGCCACTTGGTACAGCATATTCCTTGGTTCTTGGGATTAAAAACAAATATGTTCATTGCATTACCTCATTAATAAAATAACGGCTTTATATTAATCTACTGAACATTACAGTTAATTATTACCAGCTAAATGCAATTGCTTTGATTAGCACATGGCCTACTGAAAATAAAGACCTGCTTTATCTATATTGAATGGTAAAATTACACTCGACAACAAAACAACACCAAGTCTGTATAAACATCCACAAATTTGTCAGTGGAATTTGAATTTAAATTATCCATATTATCTAACAGTGTGGTGCGTGGTTAGCGCACTGCACAATGGACCCGTTTCCATTCGTGGCGAGTGATATTTAAGCTTGCTCTGGAACTCCCCCCCCCTCCCGTGCCCCCTTCACCAATCTGCACTGACTAGCATGGTGAAGTATGGTCAAACAACCCCCGTGAATGACATAGCCTGGGGAGGCCTTCATACACTCAAAGATTGACAACAGGCTGTCAATTATGTTTCTAACCAATAATGACTATTGATTGGCACAGCACAAAAATAAACTTACTGCCAGCTTTCTCCATCCTCCAGGCACACAGAAGTAGAGATTTCCAGACTGGGTCACATAAGCCAGGGAGCCGTCTCGAGCCCTGTGCGAGACCAGCTCATGGTGGTTCCCGAACACAAGCACCTGCGGTACACACGTGACCGCTCCGTGTGAACATGCGCACCCATGTCACGAAAAGAAGGATAATGTTGGAGTTTCTATGCCGCCCGCTGCACAAGAAAGATCACGATACTTTAATTTGGTTTTCATTAGGAATTGCTTAGTCAGAGGCCAGTGCTTGGCTGCCAATTGGGAGGTTGTATTTTGAAATCCCAGAGGTGAACTTAGTCCTTCATTCCTTTGATATTGATTCAATGATATATAGGAAGCCAAGAGTGGTTTTCTTTTGGAGAAAATAGCCCGGCCATAGCAATTTGGCTCAGGGCGACAAACAGAGGTGACCACCACTCCATTCTTATATGAGTGGGTCAAACGCTTCAATTTTGAATTGACGTACAACAATATTTGACGTTAAATTGTGAGGTTTAAGTGTTCGTTGGTCGCGTTTGTCTAGGATCGTTGAGTTGGTGGTCTAATTGACACAATGGCCACGTTGTTCTAGAATCGTTGAGTTGGTGGTCTAATTGATGCAATGGCCACGTTGTTCTAGAATCGTTGAGTTGGTGGTCTAATTTACACAATGGCCACGTTGTTCTAGAATCGTTGAGTTTGTGGTCTAATTGACGCAATGGCCACGTTTGTCTAGAATCGTTGAGTTGGTGGTCTAATTGATGCAGTGGCCACGTTGTTCTAGAATCGTTGAGTTGGTGGTCTAATTGACACAATGGCCACGTTGTTCTAGAATCGTTGAGTTGGTGGTCTAATTGACACAATGGCCACGTTGTTCTAGAATCGTTGAGTTGGTGGTCTAATTGATGCAATGGCCACGTTGTTCTAGAATCGTTGAGTTGGTGGTCTAATTTACACAATGGCCACGTTGTTCTAGAATCGTTGAGTTTGTGGTCTAATTGACGCAATGGCCACGTTTGTCTAGAATCGTTGAGTTGGTGGTCTAATTGATGCAGTGGCCACGTTGTTCTAGAATCGTTGAGTTGGTGGTCTAATTGACACAATGGCCACGTTGTTCTAGAATCGTTGAGTTGGTGGTCTAATTGACACAATGGCCACGTTGTTCTAGAATCGTTGAGTTGGTGGTCTAATTGATGCAATGGCCACGTTGTTCTAGAATCGTTGAGTTGGTGGTCTAATTTACACAATGGCCACGTTGTTCTAGAATCGTTGAGTTTGTGGTCTAATTGACGCAATGGCCACGTTTGTCTAGAATCGTTGAGTTGGTGGTCTAATTGATGCAGTGGCCACGTTGTTCTAGAATCGTTGAGTTGGTGGTCTAATTGACACAATGGCCACGTTGTTCTAGAATCGTTGAGTTGGTGGTCTAATTGACACAATGGCCACGTTGTTCTAGAATCGTTGAGTTGATGGTCTAATTGATGCAATGGCCACGTTGTTCTAGAATCGTTGAGTTGGTGGTCTAATTGACACAATGGCCACGTTGTTCTAGAATCGTTGAGTTTGTGGTCTAATTGACACAATGGCCACGTTGTTCTAGAATCGTTGAGTTGGTGGTCTAATTGACGCAATGGCCACACGTTAAGTTCTTTGAGCTCATGATTTGGATAATGTTAAGAGCTTTTGTACATGCAATGCACACCTTTGTGTGTTGTGAAAGCTATATGGGGTTCAGTGATGGCAGAGTGGTTAGTGCATTGCACTATAAAACTGGTCATCACAGTTAAATTTCCAGCCATGGGGAAATAACTCCCCATGACCACAACATGCCGTCAGGATGCCTTCATCCAGCAGTGAATTTTCGTAAAATAAATTGCCTTGAGTATTATTCAATGCTGCTAAATTACATATTAATGCTAAATTCTTACAATGACTCATTTATTTTTGCGTGTATTTAATTATTTCCACTGACAAAAAAGTTCCCAAAAGAAAGCGCAGCATTTCTTCTCAAATCAGGAGAAGACAGGCATTTGCCAATATTGGAAGAAGGCAACTGCCGGTTGTTATAAATAATTGCTGAGAGTAGGGAGCCTAGGCCTGGCCTACCCCATTCCCAAGTGAACTTTGATCGCAGGACAAGGTAGAGCCATCAGGCCCCTGAGGGCCTTGAGGTCCATGTGGCCCAGGAGGGCCAGGTGGCCCTGGTTCGCCAGCAGAACCAGGGAAGCCAGGGGGCCCTGGCATTCCGTGCTCCCCGACGTGGCCTCGTGGTCCAGGTTTTCCTGTCCGTGAAGCAAAGCACACAGGCAGCAACTGTCATTCTTCCGCATTCAGTGCATGCCCCTTAAGTCTCAGAACAAATTCTCAGTGGCACAGTGGCAAAGCAACAGCTTCATTGAACAATGCAAACTAATCCATAGATTTGGTTGGATTTGACTTACCAGGCACACCTACTCCAGGATTTCCCGGAGGCCCTTGGGCACCAGGGAGCCCAGGCTGCCCAGTGGGACCCTCCAGGCCATAGCCTGGCTGCCCATTAGCTCCTGGGGTCCCTGGTATCCCTGGGGGGCCCATCACTGAATCTCCCTTGGGGCCCTATGGGATGCCATAGTTGCATAACAATTTTCACAAAGGTCACGGTTGTAAACTGTAATGGGGATGAGAAAGGTCAGAGGCAGGGATATAAAGAATGCTGCACATTGATGTTGAACAGGTTTGGGCCTGCAAGCTCACACCACTGCCAGCGACATCGACATCTAAGACAGTTCAATATTCATTAAGATGTCTGAAACATTATCAAATTGCCTTGCAATATGAAAATAATAGCTCTCTTTAAATTTTATTTCCTCTCTGTAAAATTAAATTTAAAATGTTATATTCTGATTTCATAATTAGGGCTAAACAAATAATATATTATTAACAGCTCCTGCACGGGAAAGAAGACAAAAGGACATTGCAGATACAGTATCGACTAACTACATTCCAATTGTAATGTAAAGGGCTTAAATGCACCACAATCTCAGGACACTTAGTTGTAAAGTTTGAGATGAAATTAACTTTAAGAGAGACGATACGTTTTATGTATGCAAGGAAAGGAAATTGACACATACTTAATAAATAATTACATCCACAATTAAAGTCAAATAATTAATCATATGCAGAGGATACAAAAAATACTGAATAGGGGAAGAGTTTATTTTTGCCGATGACGACGATAAATATTAACAGGCAATGATAAAGAAATTATCATGAAGAAATACAATTATACATTTCCATTTCGAACTCCAAATACTTTCATTTGGAACATTTGCAGCTTACAGCTCACCACCTTGTGTCAGACAACATCCCTAGAAGATGATGTTACAAGTGTGTTTAAACTTGAATAAACTTTTTTCATCCACACCTTTTATATGTCCTGCAAAATGTGTTCATTGCAATTTTTTAATCTTAGAAACACAATAGCTGAAGTAGGAATAAAATCAAGTTTTGCTTGAGAAGATGTTTGTAACCTACATCACCTGTTTGTATCACCCCGTCGATATTAATATTGAATAAATAGTAATCAAACAAACATTTATTTCGATTCTCAGCTGAATTATTTCCCAAATGAAATGAAAAAAACCCAAAATATTTCGTATGATTTTAATGTAGCTATTGGTGACTGGGCTGAAACCATCAATCCAATGCACTTGAGAAGCTGATTTATTATGAGTGGCTGCCCAGATTCAGACCCATGATTTCAGGGATATGGGCTCAGTGCTTTGACCCCTGAGCAACCAGACCACCTCTTAAAAGGTTAAGAGGTAATCAAATATTTAACACAAATGTATATACTTTGTAATTGGGAGAATTGAGTAGTGCTGTCATGAGCTTGATTTGAGAGGGGACTGTTTTTCACAATGTCTATAATGATGCTGATCGGCTTCAGAATGATAACCATTGATTATAACCATAATTATAAACTAGATTTGGTTTCCATCTGTTGAGATATAAAACTGCATTGATGTCGGTAGACTGATAGATGCAGATTGTTTGGTTTTGTATATCCCTCTTCCCCTTCCCTTTTAAGTTCTTCTTTAATTTATTTTCACAGTTTCCACATTTGGATGATTTATTGCAAGGGCCTCAACTCGGGTTCTTGGATTCATTTGTTTATTGTGCATTCTGTTTTTTATGCTCTCGGTAAAGGTGCAGACCTGCAATGACTTGTTTATCACCACTCCTGACCAAAAGTGGTGTCCACGAGAGAGAGCGTTAGAGGGTCCCCTCTGGAGGGAGTTGTGGCCCACTTTTCCACACTTGCCAGATATCTTGGAATAGGTTTTATTCGCCACACTTTATACGAACACAAGTTACCGGCGGGATGACTAACTGTGGTGTTCCCATTTCTACTACTGGGTTGACAGAGGCCGAGATGATTTGAGAAACTTGCACAATTCGTTCAAATGCTGCGCCGGGGAGATTGAACCGGCGATCTCTGAATTGCAAGTCCAGCGTCATACCCATCACACTGTGGGACTATCCCATTAAAATGGACGTAAATCACTTTTTTTTAAAAGAGAGATAGTAAAATATGAGCGATAACAATGTGTGTCATGTGTGAAAAGTTTGCTCACCACGGGCCCCATACGGCCTGTAGCTCCCTGAAGGCCTGGCATTCCCGGCTCACCCCTGGGGCCTGCGACATAGGAGCCGTGTCCCTCTCCTGGCTCCCCTTTCAAGCCCATCCTGCCGGGCTCTCCCTTCTCTCCCTGCGTACAACGGGCACGGAATGAGCAGCCGAAGGTCAGCGTAGGCGAGAGCGAGCAGGCAGGGCAGCTGCCTCCCCTCCTGTGGTAATTTGTATAAATCATCTTAAGTGATATCAACCCTTAGATTACAATCTAGATTACTGTAGTTGTAAAGTAATGGGATATTTTCACTGGAGTGGTTTTGTGCAATCAGACATTTGATTTGAAAATGTTATATTTTTGGGAAAAAAATTCACCCATTTTTATCCCGATTGTGCTATCGGTAGGTATCATGTCAGGTTAGACAATGACCCACAAGAATGGATATTATAAAACTACCTCTGAGATCCCTTAATTGACCTCTGGTCCGCACAATAGTGGCAGCACTTTCGTACCCACTTTGCCATGTGATATGAATGTTTGTTGCCGTGACAGTCAAGTGATATTTCAATTCTCAGAGCTGGAATTCAGCCAAATTGAGGACAAGACCAAATTCTATATGATGGGATTTTTTTGTGTGCAGAATCTCAGCCTAACGTTCTGACCCCTGAGCAACCCGACTATCTCCCCTCTAAAAAAATCAATATTTTACGTACAATACCGACTATAATCACCCAGGAATGGTCTGTCCTTAACGCTCGTGACGTCACTCCACATCAACCAGCCCCCTCATTAATATTCATGAGCAGGTGACATCCTCCAAAAATGAGCCAAGAATGTCTGTGTGCATCGCTCGTGACGTCACTCCACGTCGACCTCATTAATAATCATGAACAGGTTACGTCCTCCACATGGACCCCCCCCCCCTCATTAATAATCATGAGCAGGTGACGTCCTCCAAATGGACACGCCCCCGCCATTAATAATAATTAGCGGCTGACGTCACTCCACATGGGGGGCCGAGGCGCCTCCTCCCCCCTCCCTCGGCGTCAATTCACAACCCTCACTACAAAGGCAGAAGCCTCACGTCACGTGATCTCCGTAACGCTGTTGAGACATCAAAGTAAAAATGACGTCATGATGAACAAGGGATCATAACCTTAAAATGAAATAGGTCTGTGTCACCGCCAAACTGCACACGCATTCATGCAATGAATATCACGTTGCGGTCTGCTCTTCGCTTAGAAGTTTCCGATTTACTGCAATACACCCGTCCTTGGACGGGCAAAAGGCTAGTGTTTAATATTTACATAGAGGTTAGATCTACTATTTACAATAGACTTTCCCCTGAAGCTACCTCTTACTCTCAGACATTTCTGGGCACAATAATGAGCTGGTAAGGGGCAGTTGCATTGCCTTGTAGTTGTTGGAGTGAACGGTAGTGAGATTGCGCAGCCACAAAAGCATTGGGCATGTGATTGCACCCCTACAATGGCAGTTTAGCGGAAACATCACTGTAAAATTCTTATTTTAGAAATCAATGGATACATTTCAGAAAATCAAATGCAAAGCAACTTTGCAAAGTCGCAAATGTTTTAAGATAGTTTATGAAAAAAACACTTTACAATACAATACTCTGCTCTGTAGGACAGATGCCTGAAACATTGGCCTCATTTTTACCTGAAAATGTTAAGGCAACATTCAAGATGATGGTGGTAAAGTATTATCAGCCTGCACTTTCTACACCACTCAAAACAAGGCTGCTCAAGCGCAGTCTAAAAATACACATTCAGCAGCGGATACACAATGACTGCCGCTGCGGTTCATGATAAATGACTTACTTTATCACATGGACAGCTGCGTGTGTTTCTTGTCAATTCTAAAAACACAAAGAAATTGTACTTATCAGTACAAAGCTATGCGCACGTGTACTTGTGCTTAATTCCAATAAATGTTGCATGCGGTGTATAGAGGGCTCTTGCAGCCAATAACAGGAAGATGACTGAGATGTAACGTGCAGTCATTAAATTAAGTAAAACTTACCCATGTCAGAGTCCTTTGAGGTTTCCTGCTCCATCTTTTGGAACAATAGAGTATAAAGCAAACATATGAACAACTTAGCAAGAATAAACACAGGTAGGAATGTAGATTTCACAGCACAATACCTGCCACACTAATGAGATGTAATAGAGTATGCATTGTACACTTTTGTGTAGTGATAGCTTGGTGAATGAGCTTTTTTTTAGTGCAGGCGTTATCGATGAAAATTACTCAAATCCTGGCTTATGAATTCAAACCCGCTGGTGATAACAATTAAATTATAGTGCGAAAATCATCTGTCATCATGGTAAATAGTTCTTTACGTATTCACAAAAGGCAATACAGGAATACCTTGGACTTTCGTCTGGTTAGGGACCAGAGCATGGACGAATGTCAAAGCAGAGCCTTTATTTAGCTTGCAAATTAATTTTGGCCGGCGAAAAACGTGCATGCAAATAACTACAGTAAATATTAAACGTACATGCAAATAACTACAGTATCTATATAACACATGCGTGCGAAACTTAAATAAACAGAAATAAAGGAAACGTAAGAATAAATAAACAAAACTAAATAGATAAACTAAATGACACCTTGAAAAATATTTAGTCTTGCGTAAGTAAATACTGTAGTATTATACACAAAATAACTATGAATTGTTTACAGTATAATCACAGAAATAAGTACAGTATTAATAATATATGAATAAACACAAATATAAGAGATGCTCACTGAACGACTTCTATTCAAAGACTGAACGAAAAAGACGGCGAGTGGCGTGAACGTCGTGGAAGGTTTTGGGTTGAAATCGGACGAAAGAGGAAAGCACGTGGACTAAATTTGAAATGTGATTACAAAGTCAAGTGGACGAAAGTCAAGGTATCGCTGTAGTTGTCTTGAATGAATGACCTATTCAGGTATTGCCATACAAGTGATCGCACAATGTGGTCAGGTGTGAATCAAGTAGGAGCCTCTTACCGAGCTGAATAACACGGGGACACCTGGAGGTCCAGGAGGTCCAGGAGGACCTATTGGTCCAGTGCGGCCAGGAGGTCCTGGCAGACCCTGGACACACAATGGGGGCCGCACAACCACACTAATAGGCACACATGACCGGGCCTGCACTCACTCACAGATCGGCTTCTGCACGTGAATGAGCGGAGATCGAGCGGATGATGCCACCCGAATGGGGAGAAATGCATAAGTGAAAGACACGAGGTGTTATTATTGTGCCAGTGTGTTTTGATATACTGCATCGAAGATTGACCAATAGATATGCTAGGTATCTTCAACCTGCGTTGAAAATTGGGGAGGCTTTCATCCAGCAGTGGAGAGATCATGGTTGATGATGATGATATAGGTGGGTGTCAATCTATAGTCCAAACCTTAAAGTAAATCATAATGATTTACATACCCTTGCCAATTCAATGGTGATGGTCTCTCCACTCGACACCAATCATGGAGGTTGTTTGACTATACTTCTCCACCCTAATCAACCATATACAGTATATGCAAGTGAGAAGCCCATTCAGATGGAATCTAAATGTAGGTGGGTATCAATCTATAGTTCAAACCTTAAAATAAATTATTCTAATTTACATCTAGCAATATTGATATGCTAATTTCCTCGCCTGGTATGTAGGAGATCGTGGGTTCGATTCTGACCCCGACGCCTGCTGTATATTTGGGGTTTCCATGTCTCTTTCCCTGTTGTCATGTGGGTTTTTCTCTGGATCCTCTGGTTTTTCCCGCCACATTTAGAATCAACATTACATGTTTAGAGTATCTGGTTGCTCTGAATTTCCACATGATAATGCCACTTCGTTGAGCTGTCATTTGTGGCCAGGTCGCATCTGAAAAAGGGGCAATATAGCTCAGTTGGTCTTACCTGGTAAAATAACAAAAATAGTTTAGTTTGAGGGCTCACGGAGTTTCATCTCCACCCCTCCGCTGCTCGCCCCGGAAAATCTCCCTGTGCCCGCACCCCCAACCTCCAACATTGCATTATTATTTATGCTTGTTCATCTAGGAAAGCCCTTCTGAGTCTCAAGACTCGATTTCACGATGTTCCTATGTGTAATCCCAATTGAGTAATTGGCACCTATCCATTGTGTGATTTCAAATGGGCCTCGGCATGCACCAGTATTGTAAATGCTAGAGTGGATAAGCATCGTAAATGCTAGGCCACATTCTCGTATGAAAAATAAAATATAAAATCTCACAATTTTTGCCTTGTTCTCATGAAATGCATATCACAAGCTTTCAAATGCCACTCTATTTGTTGAATTTGGTGTTATGTTCGTCGGCAAACTGGCATACAAATCATAGCAAAAGATATGTTCATAACGATGTGAATAAATCAATGGTGCAATGTTTCATGATGAAACGGCAAACGGTTACAAAGTGGCTTGTAAATCACTCACGCCCTTTGAGCCTGAGCCCAGCCCAGGGTCTCCTTTCTGACCCTTGAGTCCCTTCGTCCCAGGTATTCCCTGCACACACAGCCCAAGCAAACAGTAAATGACACACGTACACTCTATGCGCACACACACACACATGCGATCAAAGGTTGGTTACAATCAGTCGGAGCGTGGTGAGAAAATTCTAATCATCATAATCATCAGCAGCAGTATCAGCCTTGATCAATCCACTGCTGGATGAAGGACTCCATAAGCCATCAATTTTTCTCATGGTGCCACGATGCAACAGTCCATCTACCAACTACTCATGGGCTGATTTGATGTTTCGATTTAAAGCTTTCGTGACTGCAGGGATTCATATTATTGGTTCTTTTGGTAAAGTCACGTAGAAGGGAAATAATAAAATAATAAAAATACAATTGTCACGACGTTTCGATTGCAACACAAACAATCATCATCAGGTGTGAAAACCACAGCAAGAACATTTTTGAAAAAAATTCTTGAAAAAACCGCTATTTTTTTCTAAATTGGGCAGGACACGCCATTTAGTGGCCATTTAGTGGCGTGTCCTGCCCAAGCCCATTTACTTTATTTTCTTTTTTTCATTGAACAAGAGCCGGGTACAGGGCACGAGGTGTAAGGGGAGGGGGGGGTACTGATGTTCCGCGGACGACAAGCCCGAGGCCAGGTGTTCACGGGACAGGAGAAAGGGAAGGAGGAGGTTGGACTGCCTGCCCTACTCACGTAGGGGGCAACGATCAGGATCATGGTATTTACTCCATGCCTATCCATGGAGTGGTATATATCAAGAGTCTGGGTCCCCATTTATTTTTCTAAAGTAAATGCCATCAACTTGCATGTGCCACCTAATCCATGTGTTTCTTTTTTCTGTTTCTCATAATTTTGTCCCACAACGGTAATAAAATACATATCTAAATTCGAAATTGTTGTATAAAGCCCTTTCCTGTTCGTTTATAACTACCAAAATCAATTCTGTTATTTATGGGTAGGATTCAAGAGTACTATGGAGTCTTTGATTAACCGAGATGGAAAGTTGCCACAGTCCAATGGCAATAATTCTAAATTGTATTTATTAAATCATATTTAGCCATCATGAAACTATGCTCTGCTCTTTAGTGAGTGTTGAAGATAGGGCGGTGAATTTATGTTCCATTGCTCATGGCTGAGATATGAGCATTACCCCAATATTAATACGCAAAAAGAAAATTTAAAGCAATGGCCACTTCTAGTGTGTGTCGTAATCCGATGTTTTGTGCCGAGCTTGGAAGGGTTCCCCTTGTTTCGACTACAGCCCTGCCAGGCAATAAGACATTCCAAAGAAATTAAGGGTAATTTAGCATATCCATGAACGCGATCAATTTATCAGTTAATACCGTGGCTCAGTTAACGCCGTGGCTTCTTCTCACGTGTAATATTACACGCAGCTATTTTTTTAACAAGTGCTGCCAGGAGGTGGCGTGTGTGAGGCCAAAAGGCTCATTCCTCCATCTTCGTGGGTTCACCGGTGCGCCGCGACGCAGACCGGAGGTCACGTGTGTGATCGATTGCCTTCGACGTGAGTCACATTCAAGAGTCGCAGAGGTGAAAGGTCAACATTGCATTAATGCACAGCGCAACACGAGGCCACTTCATGGCCCCGCGTGGAGGAAATTCAGCCCAGTACCACACTGTGTATATTATTCTTTTGGAATATGTATTGTGTGGTCTTGCAATGTGTACATTTTAATAAGCAGTACCGGGCATTTTGTGAGTTCAGAAGTGCATTTCAGCTACTTTTAAGATATGGATACTCATTGCTGTAATCATGAAGTAGATTTTTTACTTCGACATATTTTATCAATCAATTAAGACTCTAAGTTAGAGATATATAATATCTCCACGTTTCTTTAGAAGGGAGAAAAGCTCATAAATTAGCACGGTGTTGGAGGTACCCCAAACAAGCTGACTTTTCATCCATGCTGAGATAGCAGTCGTGCATTTAGTTAAATGTGTGTCCAAAACCATTAACTTATTTTATGCACTTTTAAATCAACATTGAAAACTCATTTCTTTACAATTGATGTTTGTGTTCAGTTTGTTGTCCTTCCCTCACACCTACAATTAGCATGGTTGGCTACATACAGTTTAACACGTAGGCTTTCGCGACCAATATCATACATAATACAGGTTTTTTTTGGTTTAGATTGCGTAAATATATAAATGTGTCATTAAACCCGCCACCACCAAACACAGCCAATTAGTAAGGTTTGTCACGTAAACAGAACGTGCCAATTCGTTACTAGTACAGCACACCGGTGTAATTGGAGGGCAAAGCCACAACATTTAAATTCTGAGTACGACGTTTTGCAGGGAATTACAACTAGCTCATCAGGCGACAGCCAGATTTGGGGAGAAATCCTCCTCCTGTTTCGTATTTAAGGAACGAAACAGGCGGGTAGTGGGGTTTAACGACATATTTACGCGATCTAACCCAAAAAAACCTGTATTATGGCTACATACAGTGTGAAATAAGCTAAGCATACATACATACCTACACTGTATGATCCGTATTTTTTTAAACTATAGATAATAACCTACAAATTGACACCATATATGTATTATTAAGGTGACTTTGACCTTTTTGCTGAGTTCACTAATTTATGGGAATGCCCTACTCATTTTAAGTGTACATCTTTTCCAATAAAACGGTGTGCGGTGTGTTATGTTGTGATTCAGCTAGAATTAACTAATTTAACTTCAAACAAATTAGTTGGCCACGTCGCTGCATCGGCAGCGGTGCACAGCAACAAAAAACTCAAGACACTAATCAATAACACTGTGGCCTTAAGAGAGAACATTGTGATAGGTGATATTTCGGCGGCAATGGTCCTACTTCATCACACACACACATTGTATATACATTTTTTATATAAATGTTTAATTGAAGGCCAAAGTATTAATGACGATTGTGTTCCGCTTTTTTGTCATAGGCGAGTGGGATAACGCATTGTCTCAAACGGGCTCAAACCCACTGCCTTAGCGCTGCTTGATTGGTGCACTGACGAGGTCACACACTCGCAGAGCTGCCAAGCTCCTGCAACGATAACATTCATCCAGCAAACCACACCTGCTGACTGAAAAGCTGGAGCTTGTGCTGTAGACCCTTGCAGAACAATTACTACTGCCCAGCCCAACTCTCCACCCAGAGCATCTTGTTATTGCAGTCAATTGGTTTTGTAACTTCTGTGACGCTAAATGCATATGCATCCTGCTCAAACAGTGTACTCACCTGTTTAACACGTAGGCTTTCGCGACTCACCTGATATTATTTTCTATACCAGTATTTTATAACCATTCAAGCCATTGCTTTATCAGGAAATAGCATAATTTATCTGACTGCTTAATGATTACTGCTGTCCATATGTAATTAATAGGCTTGTGTGGAAGTTCTTATCACATCAATGTGATAATAATGTATTATCACAGTTATAATGTATTGTTATCACAGTAATATTTCAGAGATGAAAATGTATTAAGTTGATGCATTTCCAAGAATTACAATGGACACTAAGACTAACGTTGGAGCCAAAGGTTTGTGTATGGTCGATTAAGATACATTGTACCCAATGACTTACACTGCACTCAGAATGTTATGTTGTCCTTTAGACTAACAATTTCATCATATACTTACATTGGATACATAAACTTAGAGGGGTTCCATAGACTAATATTGGACCATTGACTTATAAACCAATATAGGACTCAAAGACTCTACATTGAATCCATAAACTGATCTTAGATTAGACCCATAGACTTAGCCCGGGAAATTCAATTATATTGGATGCATGGCTAAAATAGGGGTTATCGAAGTACACAGGACCCAGAGATTTACATCACGTCCATCGTTTAACACTGGACCAATTGGCCAATATATACTTATTTAGGACTATATTACTATCATAGGTCCTATATAGACTAATAAAAGGACCATATACTTTGAGACAGCCGATTTCTCTGGGGTCATTTTGAGACCTTAGGAGCCACACCTACAATGTAAACGCTCCATAATTACTTCTGTATTTGTGTCAATCCATCCAGTTTGGTTGATACTTACAGAGATCCCGCTGATACCTGGCAGTCCTCGCTCTCCCTTGGGCCCAACAGGCCCAGGAGGCCCAGGAAATCCCTACAGCAAGCATGTTTTGGAGGTGAAACACTGCACAATGTTTCCCTTATGCATATTTATTCATAAACACATGACGGCCCATTGTTCCAAGATATCTACATTTTACGATGGAAATTTCTGAAGGAAATTTAGGTGACATGCATGCCACTATGAACCTGTCATCCTGAATTTCATTCCAAGCCATGGCTAACATCAGTGGTCAGGGACATTTAAACCAGTCCAGGGTCTTTCACTAACTTATAGTAAATTGTCTTCAGTCTTTCACCATCTGATAATAAATTGACAATGGCTGCATATGATTATTTTATTATTACAATTAAGAAAAGGGTCAAAAATTTTTTCTTACTGTTATAACTAGCCTTAATAATTATCAGAGGATGATTTAAAGATGTCCTCGAGACATGATATGAAAAGCATGACAGCAATTTACATTGTGATATAAATATTACTGTATATATATAGACAGTAAATAAAAAATAAACTACAAAAATCATGCTTGTCAAGACGTGCTGCATTTTAGTAATCATTATGGGTATGTTATGATACAACTACTGTATATAAACACACAATTATAACTTTACACAAGGATATAATTATTACTAACTGTTCTGCCCCACGGCAGATATGGGGGTGTGTTTACATAGGAACTTCCTGATATGGTGTTGAGTTTGGTCACGTGACCAGGAAGTTATGATTTAAGATTCTCTAAGTCAGCGGTCCCCAACCTTTTTGGCACCAGGGACCGGTTTCGTGGAAGACAATTTTTTCACGGACCGGGGGGGGGGGGGGATCATCATTGGGTCTTTCCCCCTTTTCAAAGAAGCTCTGCAGCGACGTTTGCTTCTAACTCATTTTGGCTACTAGGGGTTAGCTTGTGGGCTTACCAAAACTGTGACTGAGATAAGTGCGCAGTGCGGGAAAGAGGCGCGGACGGAAGTGGTAAATAAAATAATGGGCGGGCGTCATCTGGTCCAACACCAGTGGAGACTAGGCTCTAAGAAAAGCTGTCTCGGGTGTGGACCAATCATTTTCAAGGACAGTGCATATGATTATCAGAGTTGTCTTTTTGTTTGCATTTTGACTGCTTGTGTTGTGGTTATTGCAAACATGATCCCTTGTATAAAGGTGTCAGTTTTGGTGCCAGATAAAAGGGTAAAAACCTATTACTATATCTTGCTACTGGCAAAGGAGGTCGCATAATATAAAAGTTACTTGTAGTTGGATAAGTCGAGCCAGACTTGTGCCCATGTAACTTTAATGTGATCTTGAGAGCAAGGATGAAGAAGTATCTCATCCACAGTTCAGTGTTATAAGCAGCACTATACATTTAAGCTGCAGTATGGTGATTACATAATGTGACCTTATTTAACACAGTAGCTTATTATCTTGTTGTATCGCTATTCAGTGCTAATGTAGGTGCTTGGTCCATCCAGGACCTATTTTTGATAATCATTTTATCTAAGACAATGTTATGATGCTGCAGTATTCATTCATTGTATTGATATTGCAAGTATTAATAAATGCTGAATTTTGTGCTGTTTATTCATCAGTTTTACCTCGTTCTATTCATGAAATGCGTCGGAGTCGGATGTTCACCCTGGATCTGAAAGTTTATTGAATGCGAGGTTAACTACTTGGATAGTGGTGCAACGCAGCGCACAGCGAGGCCGAGACACTAACCTTAATCGATGTACTTGGTTTAGCCCCAACCGAACTTGGGATCTGAAAGAAACATTTAATTAAATACATTTTTAACAATCTTTGTTGTGATGCAAATGGATGTTTTTACATATGTACAAAAATACACCTGAATTATTATATACTGTATACAGTCACAGTAACTTGTTGCAAAAGAGACAACTCTGATAATGATATTGGCACTGTCCTTGAAATTGATTGGTCCACACCCGAGACGGCTTTTCTTAGAGCCTAGTCTCCACTGGTGTTGGACCAGATGACGCCAAAAGGCGTACAACTCAAAAACAGCGCACTATCAGAGTATTGAGAGCTCGGGGTAAGCATTTACATTATGAGACCTCCTTTGCCAGTAGAGTTGTCTCTTTTTGTTTGCATTTGACTGCTTGTGTTGTGGTTATTGCAAACATGATCCCTTGTATAAAGGTGACAGTTTTGGTGCCAGATAAAAGGGTAAAAACCTATTACTATATCTTGCAACTGGCAAAGGAGGTCGCATAATGTAAACTCTAAACGCATGTTTCTAATTGTCGAGGGAAAAACCGGAGGACCCGGAGAAAAATACACATGACCACGTGGAGAAAGAACATGCAAACTCAATATATAGCCTCAGGGTCGGGATCGAACCCACGACCTCCTGCATACCAGGCGATGTAGTTAATATCTCTGACCGGTGAAAGAAAAGCAGCCAAGTGATGAAACGTGCCTGAAAGAACAACCACTGATGTGGGGAGATGGAGTGATGAGATCAGCTCTCGTGCAGGAGTGACACGGATTATGGCTCACCAAGATCACCAGGGATGGTACTAATGTGAATAGGCATTAATCCAGCAGTAGATAAATCATGGCTGTTGCAGAAGCATTCTTTAAAAAAAGAACGAATGAGAGTTAATATATAACACAGGGTATGTATGTTTGTCTGTTCATGATGGTATTTTGAAATGGGTTATAACATAATAATTAAATAGTGAAAAACGTCGTATTCTATGATTTAATTTATTTTCTTTCTACGTGAATTTATCGAAAGAACCAAAGAGTAATTAAATAGTGATTTATAAATCAACTGTAATGTCAATACCAAAAACCTGCAAAAACCCGTAGATTGCTCACAACAACTCTATGCCACCTCTAGATAAAGGGAGAATGACTAAACAGTTTATAACCATATTGGGCATGGTTATACCAAGAAACGTTTGCAAAAGTCCTTTATAAAATGCCACACAATGGCACAGTAGGAGTCGGTTTGGCAACGATCTTGCTCAGCATAAAGGAATAAGTTAAACGACATTTTTCCAAGTCATGTGGAAACCCAGGCTTCATACAATAGTGGCAGGCATTAGATAATAACTGCATTAACTACAGTATATTATAATATTATTAGACATTCATGGTATGGCCCAATAAAATATTTTATAAAATATACATAAAACAATATATTGAAGAGTATTTTTAAATTAAGTTGACGGCTTGTTACAATCACTCTAAACATTGTACAAGATTACAAGATTTCAGATTGATGTCCTGACAATTAGCAAACATAAGACTCCACCTTGGCCTAAAGTGCTATGTAGGCATTTGGGCAATCCAGCCACCCACATGGAAATTGAAGTCACAGATACAGGTCATACAGAAGAGGGTAAACAACTTAGCGGTACCTCCACGACACTTCCAGGAGGTCCAGGGGGCCCGGGAAGACCTTTCAAACCGTGTGGGCCCTGAAATACAAATGCCACTAGTTAGCTTTACAATAATGGCACATGGCAGGGTATGGCAACCTCCGGCTCTGGAGCCGCATGTGGGGCTCTTTAAGGACTGCTTTGTGACGTTATCTATTAAGGACCACCGTCTCGTATTCACATGCATTGCAGCTCTTGAAATATTGAGGGTTTTTTTTTATCCAATTCGAAAACATTGGCTTTTATTATTATTTTCGTTGCCAACCACTAGTATAGTGTCATGTTCTTTTTTTTAGTCGGTGCAATTATGAACAATAGCCATATCAGACAGTACATCTAGTCGACATCATCATTGGTTAACTGCAGCCCAAAGACTCAGTTCTACAAGGTGTGTGGTGAAGTTAGGAGATGTCCATGCACTCGGAATTTGAAGGCCTGAAGACCAGAATCTGTGATTTCGCCGACAATGTGTTCAGGGAGGCAATTCCCTATCTGGACAGCAGAGTGAAGGGAGCTTCTGTCCAGGGAGCGATGTTCTGACAACTGGGGGGCAAGGGCATGGTTTGGCAGGGTTGTGGACGATCGGGTGGCACGGTGTCTTTCGTATGGGGGTGGAAGCATGGCCTGAAGATCTGTGGGGCAGTGGTTGGTGTGCATTTTGTGATAGCAGTAACTTGCCGACGATTATGCAAGATGTGGATGGTGAGTTGTGTACTGGCGGTAGCTGTTGTCGGGAGGGTTGAGTGAGGTAAGTTGGTGGGGCTTTCATACAGCACAAAGAGGCATACTCCATGATGCTGTGGACTTGAGCTTTGTAGACTGTGGTTCGGCCCTCTGTGTCAAGTTTGTTGGCTATGTTTCTCAGTACACCCAGATTCTGTCCTGTTATGATGGAGATGTTTTGACCATGTGAGCTTGCTGTCAATGGTATCACCGAGGATCTAAAGCTTGTTGGTTGATGCTAGCTGACAGTCACCAAAATACGGGTCCAGCTTGGATGGAATTCTCTTCCGAGATAATATCTTGGTCTGGCACATTGATGGTTCAAAAGTGATCTTCCATTTGTCTGCCCCGATGTTCATTTTATGAAGATCCCTGTTCAGGCGACCTGCCACTGCATTGCTTTCTGCAGGTGATCCTATTGGAGCATAGAGGGTTGAGTCGTCAGCATACAGGTACAGCTAGTTCTCGCAGGCATCGACCAGGCCATCAATGAAGATGGAGAAGAGAAGTGGACCGAACATTGATCCTTGTGGTACAGAGGCATTGATGGGAGAAGGTTATGAGGCCTGGCCGGACAATACAACTCTGATGGATCTGTTGGAGAGGTAGCTCTGCAGCCATGTCAGAAGTTGTCCAGATACCCCCTTGGAGCAGAGTTGGGCATATAGGCCGTTGTGCCACACTTTGTTAAAGATTCCTTTGATGTCCCGAGCTATAGCACAGACTTCTTCCCCCTTGTTCAGGGAGGTGTTCCACCTCTGCCACTATCCACTTAGCATGAAACATTTCTTCACCACAATCGATGGTGCGTTGAACTGTG